ATGATCTTGTTCCATTCTCTTATAAGAATAAATGAGATTTGAAGAAGCTGAGTAACTTGCTTTTTCAATTTCACACTTGAAAGTGTTTTCATAAGGAAGTTGGGGTTCTCTGCAGCACTTGGATGGGAGTCAGGGACTTCGATTGTCCCAATTCTGTCACTAAATTTGGACACACCACTTAACTTTTCCAGAATCCAGTTGCCTCAGCTCAAATATTAGGGAAATTTCTAAATGACTTGAAAGGACCTTGTTAGCTTTAAAATTTTATGATTCTAAGTGCATACTGCCGGAGATACGTAGCATAGCAGGACTCATTAACAAGATTATTGAAACTGTCCTAATAAAGGACATCTTTGTGTCTTGGGTAGCTACTGTGTTTAAAGACTGTGCTAGATAGGAGTCGTACAGAATACAAAGGTTCTCCGGAGAGGGACAGGGTGTGTACACAGACAACTCTACTAGCAAGAACATTACTAGAAGCTCATTGGAATCACAGTATTTCTTGCTGAGGGTGTGAAACATGAGAGTTCTTCCTTGGAATGTAAGGTTCTATTTGGGGCATAAAGTATGGTCAGAGGTTGAGTGCAAATAATGTGGATTAAGATGGCTTTAAAAAAATAATCTAATGGTTTATATTAAATTGCTGAAAAGTAATTGCAGTTTTTGCTATTCTTTTTCATGGCAAAGATTGCAGTTACTTTTGCGTCAACCCCCTAATATATTTGCATAGTTTATCTCTGTTATGGAACTTTTTATTGACAAGTAATGTAGATACTCACCTAGTCTAAATTACCCTGAATCTTGTATTAGCAAAATCTGAATTGCTTATAAATAATTATGGCTATGTCGAAGGTAGAACTTCTTATTTGATAGTTTATGAACAATGCTAAGATCTAATGTATTTTTTACAGAGAAGCTGAAAACATGCTACAGCTGGTTGAAAAGCAAAAACTTGGCCGGGCGCAGTGGCTCACGCCTGTAATCCCAGCACTTTGGGAGGCCGAGGTGGGTGGATCACGAGGTCAAGAGATCGAGACCATCCTGGCCAACATAGTGAAACTGCGTCTCGAAAAAAAAAAAAAAGAAAAAGAAAAGCAAAAACTCTAGCCATTCAAATAGTTTTGTCAATGAAATGGCAGGACTCATTTGATGAATGATTACTACCGACTGAATTGAGTAATTTTTGGCACTGTGTACATCTATACTCAAAGAAGGAAACTGAAAGTCATTTTGCTATGCTTGTTACCACTAAATTAATAACTGCCTCATCTAAAATAATTGGTAGAGCTCAGATTTATCCTTTGTAATAATTCTAGTACTTCTTTAAACATGTTTTGGGATTAACAGCTGTCAACAGTTAGAGCATGAAACAGATTCTGTTACGGGAGTAGAAGGTGATCCAGACATTTAATATCATTTTCACCTGTAAGTGAGAGAGAGAATAAAGAGAAAGAGAGATCATTATTTATGGGATTATGTGAACTTCAAGTCTGTTTTCATTACTAGGAGAAGCTGTGCTTTAGAGAACAGTCAGGGACTACACTCTCATGAAACGCCTGAGCTGTAAAGAAAGTATTGCTTTATTTTTGAATGTTTGAACATTTGAAATAAAAAATGAGCTATGAATTGTGTTCAAATTATATTATAAAAATTTGCTCTTGACATTGTGCATATATATTATGCAGAAAAACATAGAGTAGAAAGAATAGACTTCAGTTCCATTTCAGAAAAGTCTTAAAATTTGAATACTGACTTTGGAAACCCCAAACGTGAGGAGTTCAAGAAGCTTACAGTCTTCCTGAGGGACACCTATTCAAACTCTTAAATATTGTGATTAGGTACAAAGTGCAGAAAAGCCTGCTGACGCATGTCCTAAATCACCTTGGAAAAAAGAGGTGGTAGTTGCTTAAGGTAGGACTTTGTATATGTTAAGTATCAGTTGGAAACAGAAGACAAGGATGGGGACTGTTGGGAGTTGATGCTCCATGGGTCGTTCCTGTTTCTACACATCCGGTGAGCAGGGCATTGAGCGCCTGCGTTCTGAACTGCCTTTTCCATCGTGTCTCTACAGCAAACAGTCATGGAAGATAGAAACAGAGTCTTCTCTAGAGCAAAGGGCAGACATGATTGCTTCCTGAACTTCCCACTATAAAATATTCAGGCTCCGGACAGGTGTGGTGGCTCACCCAGCACTTTGGGAGGCCGCGGCAGGTGGATCACCTAAGGTCAGGAGTTCAAGACCAGCCTGACCAACGCAGTGAAACTCCGTTGTAGAGTGAAACTCTACTAAAACTACAAAATTAGTTGGGCGTGGTGGCACATGCCTGTAATCCCAGCTACTCAGGAGGCTATGGCGGGAGAATCGCTTGAACCTGGGAAGCGGAGGTTGTGGTGAGCCGAGATTGTACCATTACACTCCAGCCTGGGCAACAAGGGCAAAACTCCATTTCAAACAAAAAAGTTCAGTCTCCCTAAACTCAGCTTCTTTTCCTGTAACCCACCATGATACAGATGTCACCTGACCTGTGGGAGTTAGGCGTCAGGGAACCAACACAAGTGCTGGCTGACTGGCTACTGTGACCGCTCTGAGCAATAAATTGTCCTTCGTCTCCACCCAGGAGTCTCCTGTTTTCTACCAGCAGGCTAACTTATGGCAGTGTAACGTGTTAGTTTGCAAGTAAGGTAAAAACATCAGACCCTTTGCAGTTTGTGGGAGGGATTATATTCTGGGAGAGAGGAGCAGTGTGCACTGTGGCTCAGAGGCATGAGAAATCACATTTTGTATGAGGAACCGTAACTAGTTCTCTATCTTCAGAGCCAAAAGGTGCATGAAGGAAAGCATTTTAGGGGAGAATATGAAGTTGGAGCTATAGACAGAGCCAGATTCCTGAGAGACCTGATGTGCCATGTAGAAGAGTTCAGATTGCATGGGGCCAGTTAGTAGAGAATTTTTAGCAGGGGTGTGACATGTTACATTTTACGTTGATTAAGTTACTCCAGGAAATATGTGACAGGTGGATTGAAGGATGGGGCACCTTTTCTCCAGGTGAGAAAATAGAGTGAGATGGTGGCGTCAGTTAGAGGTAGTAATAGATGAGGAAAGAATCTGAATGACCCCTTGGCCATTCAGTGAATAGTGATGCTATTCACCTAGATACCGTCTATAGGAGGGAAGAGAGATTCTGGGAAGGAGGAGGTGAGACTGAGTTAGCTTTAAAATAACCAAATTCAGGCCTACAAGTCTATAGGCTATCCAGATAGAAAATGTAATGGCCTATATGGATCTAAACTCAGGAAGGAGGCTTCCGTGGGAGAAGAACACTTGGGCACCATTAGGGTGTATGTGGAAGATGCATTCTTGTGCAGCAGTCAAGAGGATGGACTTTAGAGTCAAGCGCAAATTGCCCCCCAGTTCCCTGTGATAAGTGACTCAAGCTCTCCAGGCTTCAACTTCCTAGGTCATAATAGTGGGCTCTAGCAGATCAGGCTGTTAGGAAGATTAAACATGAGACAACATATGCAAAACCAGAGTGCATCTGTCTGATTCACTCTTCTCTCCCTCGTGTCCACCATAGTGCCGGACTCAAAGCAGGGGTTCAATCGGTATTTTAAAAGAGTAACTGAGGGGCTTAATAAGTATTTTTAAAGAATAACCAAGGTCTCTCCAATTAAAAAAAAAAAAAGACATTTCCTTTAATTTCAGACTTTCCTTGGCTGTGGCTGTCTTTCTCTTCCTTCCCTCTAAGGGAAGGTCTACACTGACTGTCTACACTTCCTGTTGACCATCCATCCCTGATTTGTAAGGCCTTGTTTGCACTAGAGATCAACTGAAACTCTGTTAAGCTTGCCCAGGTCCCCAAGGTTTTAAACTTTAAAGGGGGCTATATAGTCCCTGACTGCCTCATCCTCTCTGAATTTCTCAACCTTGGCCACACCTTCCTTCTTGAAACTCTTCTGATTCTCATCTTCCCTTTCTGGTTGTTTCTTTTCACGTACTTCGAAGGCTTTTCTTCCTGTGTTTGACTTCATCCTTTCCCTTCCTTCCACCTGCTGTTCTGGACAATCTCACCTAATCTTTGGTGTCAACCATCACATTCTGATCATCCTGCTGCTGATGACAGCAGGATGTCATCAAGCCAAGGTAGCTGGATCACCTGAGGTCAGGAGTTTGAGACCAGCCTGGCCAACATAGTGAAACCCGTCTCTACAAAAAATATAAAAATTAGCCTCACGTGGTGGTGGGTGCCTGTAATCCCAGGTATTGGGGAGGCTGAGGCAGGAGAATTGCTTGAACTGCGGAGGCAGAGGCTGCAGTGAGCTGAGATTGTGCCACTGCACTCCACTCTGGGCAACAGAGTGAGACTCTATCTAAAAAAAAAAAAAAAAAAAGCTTCTACCAAACCCAAACCCAAACTCCCTCAACTGCATTTCCCTCTCTATTTTCTTTCTTTCTTTTTTTGAGACAGAGTTTCCCTCTGTTGCCCAGGCTGGAGTGCAGTGGCGCAATCTCGGCTCACTGCAACTTCCGTCTCCTGAGTTCAAGTGATTCTCCTGCCTCAGCCTCCCAAGTAGCTGGGATTACAGGCATGCGCCACCACACCTGGCTAATTTTTTTATTTTTAGTAGAGACGAGATTTCACCATGTTGGCCAGGCTGGTCTCAAACTCCTGGCCTCAAGTGATCTGCCCACCTCAGCCTCCCAAAATGCTAGGATTACAGGCATGAGCCACTGTGCCAGGCCAGGAGGCTTATGTTTAACAGTAGTTTCCCAGTGGCCTCTTTGGTACCTGTAGTGAGTGTGACAGTTATGCCATTACCAGGTTTTATATGGAATACAATTTTGAGAAGCTCTTTCTAGGCAGAGGAGCTTGTTTGAACCAATATTCACCTCTTCTTACATTTGGGTTTCAGGCTTTTGAGTTGTTCTGAAACAATAACCCTTTGAAGTCATATTGATATGACTTCATTAAATTCTAATGCCTCTCGTTTTCTCCCCCAGGTTTTTGCATACGAAGTATGTGAAATAGATTGCTTGGTCTAAAAGAGAAAAAGAGTGGCAACTGCTTTGCTGAGTTCCCAGACCGTTCCTAAGATGGAACCAATAACATTCACAGCAAGGAAACATCTGCTTCCTAATGAGGTCTCGGTGGACTTTGGCCTGCAGCTGGTGGGTTCCCTGCCTGTGCATTCCCTGACCACCATGCCCATGCTGCCCTGGGTTGTGGCGGAGGTTCGAAGACTCAGCAGGCAGTCTTCCAGGAAGGAACCTGTAACCAAGCAAGTCCGGCTTTGTGTTTCACCCTCTGGACTGAGATGTGAACCCGAGCCAGGGAGAAGTCAACAGTGGGATCCCCTGATCTGTTCCAGCATCTTTGAGTGCAAGCCTCAGCACGTTCACAAACTGATTCACAACAGTCATGACCCAAGTTACTTTGCTTGTCTGATTAAGGAAGACGCCGACCATCGGCAGAGCATCTGCTATGTGTTCAAAGCCGACGATCAAACAAAAGTAAGTTGAGATGGGAATCCAAAAGACGAACGTGTGGCTGGCTAGTTTTTATTGCTTGAGGGTCAAGAAATTTATTTTAAGTATACCAAGATGAATAAGGAATTCATGCTGCAGTTATAAACTGACTACTTTACTGAATTTTTGGTTTATGGTGATCATTGATAGCTTTGAAGCACATTTGATAACGGATATGAGAAATGATCAGTTTTTGAGTTCAAAAATTCAAGAGAAATAGGTCTAAAACTACTAAATAAGAGCAGAAATGTTAAGATGCACATTATTCCGGATGAATGTTCTAAAGCAGTGCTTCTCAAACTGAAATGTGCTTGTGCGTCACCTGGGGATCTTGTTAAAATGCGAATCTTGATTCAGTAGGTCTGGGGCGGACCCCAACACTGCCTTCGTAACAGGCTGCCAAGAGATGCTGACGCTGCCCTTTTGCAGGTTGTACTTTGAATGGCCAAGTTCTAAATCTCCACATTTGTAACCCTATTAAGAAAAATACAGTTTTTCGTAAACTGCAGGAAAATGCTCCTGGCCAGTTTCCAAGGTATAATGTTCACTCAGGCAAAGGTCATTGATAAGAACAGTAGATATGCATCTAAGTGTTGATGCTATCGGGGGTTCTTTGTGTTTTTTTCTTTCGCAAACCTCACGTCAGATCTGATTAGCTTGTTATCTCATGATGTGGCTTCAAAAAAATGTATGAGACATGGTAAAAGCTCTGTTCTTTTCTTGTTCATTTGTGCTGGCTTTGTTATTAGCATTAACTGTGGTTCTGGGCAGGACTCGTTTGCAGCTGCTTGTCTGTTTTATGAGGATTAGCTTAGATAAAATTGAAAATATAATTCAAATAGCCACTTTCTCAGTTGGGCCCAGGGCCCCACAGCTAACCCCATGGACCATGGAGTCTCGCTGTTATTTTGGGTGCCAAGGAAGACAAGTCACATATGATTCAAGCTGTCAGCCACATGTACAGGGCGGGGATGCCAGTGTCAATCCACATGTTAACTGTCAATGAAACTTTGAAATGTTCTTATATTTTCAAGTTTAAAATCTGAATAGAAATGCTGAAGTTTTCTCTCTGGACTCCATTAGGTTATTTTGTATACTCTTTAGGGTGTCAGAACCTTATTTAGAAATTAATGTTCTTGGTACCAAATAGAGGCCTTGTTTGTTCATTTGTTGGTTCTTCTAGTCGTTGATTCAGAATTGCGATTGCAGGTACTGTTGGAGGTGATATTAGCAGAGGCTTGCAGGAAGGCAGGAGCATCAGTGGGGAATAGGACCACATGATCCATGCACAAGACATGACGGAAGGACTGAGGATAGAGCCTTAGACACACCTGAAGTGTGGAGGAGGCTTTGTGAAATAAAGACTAACATGGAGCTCAAAACCACAATTTCGCTCACGGAATCAAACTCTCATATTATAAACTATTTCATGTTACTGTCGATGCATCTCAAGTGGGCGTGACAGCATCAGGCTTGGAGATTCAGAGAGACTAACCTCCTGCATTCTAATCCTACTTCTGCACCCATAAACTGGGTGGCCTCAGGCAACTGAGTCTGTTTTCCTCTCTGTTAAATGGGGATAATCTCAGTCTTTATCCAATAGAGTTGTTGGAAAGACTAAATAATGTAGCAATGGACCTGAAACTTAGTAAGCATTTCTCGTCATAAAAATGTTTTCATCCAAGAAAATTTTACTGGAGGCAGATTATATGCTAATTTCATTTCAAGTCTTAAGTGAAAAGAAACAGGATACCTAGATGAGTGTCTTCAGCTCTCAAAGAGGAGATTCTGGTCATCTTTGAGGAACATTTTAAAAACTACAGGTTTTTAAATAATAGAACCCTTCATGGTTCCTATTATTTGGACAAATTCCAGAATGAAAATCAGAGGACTGAACAGCCTGTACCTCAGTCCAGCTCTATATGGCACTTGGACTGAGTTTCCTTGGGGAGAGTTTTTACCTGGAATTGTTGTTCAGCACTTTACACATCTGACTCTTTCCCAAAATCTTTTACAGCCATCTGAGAACAGGCTTCTGGCCAGTCATTCAGATGCCTGAGAAGAGAAAGAGATTTATAACCAAATTCTGTAATTGGGACTTCCAGTCTTTCCCAAAGAATTAGACTAACTATATTCTAAAAAGCCATGGTTAAAATGTGAATTCGTTCTTAAGTTATTTTTGGCTTGCATACCATTTTTGCAAACACCAATTGTGATTACTCAGAGTATAACCTGCTGTCATTCTGTTCATTTTATAAAAGAATAATTTGTAACATAGGTACATACCTCAATCAGTGAGTTCGTTATTGGAAACGAAACAGTAAATCAGGGCCGTGATGCTAACGGCATGATAGACTTTCTGTTCCTGGGACACCACTGGCACTGTATCTCATAGCGATGGATTAGCTGCTGTAGGAGCATGTTAACCTCCATGTTCTTGACTATCTGTATCATTTGCTGGGTGAAATAATTCTCCAGGTTAAGGCCTCTTCTAAACAGATGAGGTCAGCATCAACTGCATTTGCCAGAGAAGACATATGCATTTATTGCCAGCGTCATAAACCCAGAACTACAGTTTGTGAGGAAACCCTTTGATCAGCATCTAATTTATTCACTGAGAAATGTCTAGGGAGAAGAGGCATGTAAAGGATCATTTTATAAGCACACTATGAGATTGTGTTTTCCACTGTATGTTCCATAGAATATGAGGGAACTTCAAAAAGTTTTGTGGAAAAATGGAATTAAAAAATAACAAACATATGTATGCATGTGTGTATATATATATATATATGCTTCATTTCTCAACATAAACTTTATCAAGTTCAAGACACTTTTGTAAGCAATGATAACAGCCATTGAGTTTGTCCCTAAAGAACTGAGGGTCCTGGGAATTTAACCATGTTTATGCAGTCTTATATTATTAACTAAAGAATAATTGGCGCTCTTTAAAGATCTTTGAAAATGAAGAAGCAAAAAGAAGTCAGAAGGAGCCAAATTAGGCCTGTAAGGTGGATGCCTAATGATTTCTCATGGAAACTCTTGCAAAACTGCTTCTGTTTGATGAGAGGAATGAGCAGGAACCTTGCTATGGTGGAGAAGGACTCTGGCGAAGCTTTCCCAGGCATTTTTCTGCTGAAGCTTTGGCTAACTTTCTCAAAACACTCTCATGATAAACGATGTGACCGTTCTTTGGCCCTCCAGAAAGTCAACAGCAAAATGCCTTGGGTAGCCCAAAAAACTGCTGCAATGATTTGCTCTTGACCAGTCCTCTTTGGCTTTGACTGGACCAATTCTGTTCTTGGTAACCATTGCCTGAATTTGGCTTATCTTCGGGATTGTGCTAGTAAAACCGTGTTTCATTACCTGTTTCATTACATGTTACAGTTGTTTGAAAACATACTTCAGGATCTTGATCCCACTAGTTTCAAATTTCCATTGACTCCAGATGTGGTGGCTAACACCTATAGTCCCAGCACTTCGGGAGGCCAAGGCGGGCAGATCACGAGGTCAAGAATCGAGACAATCCTGAACAACATGGTGAAACCCCATCTCTGCTAAAAATACAAAAATTAGCTGGGTATGGTGCCATGTGCCTGTAGTCCCAGCTACTCAGGAGGCTGAGACAGGAGAATCCCTTGAATCCGGGAGGTGGAGGTTGCAGTGAGCCAAGATTGCACCACTGCACTCCAGCCTGGTGACAGAGCGAGACTCTGTCTCAAAAAAAAAAAAATTCCATTGAAAGCTCTGCTCTCACCTGCAGCTTATCTGGGAGCAATGGTTTTGGCACCCATCAGGTGGAAAGTTTACTTAATGTTAGTTTTTCAGCTGGGATTATGTAAGCTGAACCAGCAGAGATGTCTATGGTGTTGGCTATTGGTTTGTGCTATTAACTGTTGGACTTCTTCAGTGAGGCCATGCCAACATTAATTTTTTTCCTCAAAAAATTATCTGGATGGTTGGCTGCTGCAGGCTTCCTCTTCAATATTGTCTCATCCCTTCTTATTGTTTTTGAGATAGAGTCTCACTCTCTCGCCCAGGCTGGAGTGCAATGGTGCAATCTCAGCTCACTGCAACTTCTGCCTCCCGAGTTCAAACAATTCTCCTGCCTCAGCCTCCCAAGTAGCTGGGATTACAGGCATGCGCCACCACCCTGGGTAATTTTGTAATTTTAGTAGAGACCAATTTAGGGGTTCATCATGTTGGTCAGCCTCATCTCAAACTCCTGACCTCAGGTAATCCACCCATCTCAGCCTACCAAAATGCTAGGATTACAGGCGTGAGCTACTGTGCCCAGCCTATCTAGCACTTTAATAAAATTTTTAAGAGTCTATGATTCTGTACCTTCATGCATTGACAATTTGGAAAATAATGGTTCATGAGTTACGCATGCCGCACTCTGAGAACTGCTCTCCTAGGGAAACACTGTGTTTTCTATTCTCCTTGAGTTGTACATTAGTGCATTAAAAACGCTGATAGGCTGGGCGCGGTGGCTCACCCCTGTAATCCCCCAGCACTTTGGGAGGCCGAGGCGGGTGGATCACGAGGTCAAGAGATCCAGACCATCCTGGTCAACATGGTGAAACCCCGTCTCTACTAAAAATACAAAAAATTAGCTGGGCATGGTGGCGCGTGCCTGTAATCCCAGCTACTCAGGAGGCTGAAGCAGGAGAATTGCCTGAACCCAGGAGGCGGAGGTTGCAGTGAGCTGAGATTGCACCATTGCACTCCAGCCTGCATAACAAGAGCAAAACTCCATCTCAAAAAACAAAACAAACAAACAAACAAAAACGCTGATAATTCCTGTAGCAACACAAACTGTTTAACCTTGTTTAGACTAATTTCCCCAAACATATGAAACCATAGTTTACATTTTCTCCTAACACCCATGAACATCGCTCACAGTGTGTGAACACAGTGGCATAAGGTCCTGGGTTAAAATGCAGTGCTGAGTTTGAGTCCATGGTACGTCAATGAACATATCCACTCCGGAAACTGATGGTAATGAGTGACCCTGACTAGATCTTTACCTCATCACACCCTAAAGAAATCAAGAGTCTGCCCAGACTCAGACCTAGAAACATTGTCAAGCTGAAGAAAAGCATCTCGGGGTTCTTCTCTCCAGTTCTTCAGCCTTGCCTCTTCTACAAAATCTCTACTCAGAAGAACATCTGATCTGCCCCTCGTACTGACTGTCACTTTAGATCATGAGTATTTGATTCTTATCCTTTTCTTTATCCACAGAGGAAAATGCTCTGCTTCCTTTAAAGAGAACTTCCAGCACTGAGGAGCAGGAAGCAGAAGTGTTGGGCTGGGGCTTCTGACATGACATGATGCTATTTTACATCAGTCAAAGGAAAGGGGATTTTGAATGGGAAATGGCGGGGATTCTGGGGATGGTAATAGGTAGAGAAATAAAGGCTGGTGTGTAGTCCTGGGCAATGGGCAGACTGTGTGCTGGACCCAGGGTAAGTCAGAGACAGTGTACATGGAAGTATTTTTGGCGTAAGCACCAAATTTTTGTTGTTGCTGTTTGTTTGTTTTGAAAGGCTCTCTCTGTCACCCAGGCTGGAGGGCAGTCATATGATCTCAGCTCACTGCAACCTCCACCTACTGGGTTCTAGAGGTTCTCAGCCTTCTGAGTAGCTGGGATTACAGGTGCCCACCACCATGCCCAGCTAGTTTTTGTATTGTTAGTAGAGATGGGGTTTCACTGTGTTGGCCAGGCTGATCTCGAACTCCTGACCTCAAGTGACCTGCCTGCCTCAGCCTCCCAAAATGCTGAGATTACAGACGTGAGGCACTTGTGCCTGGCCGTGCCAAATGTTTTTCAACTGGCGTTTCTTATCCTACTCAAAATATATCATGGCTCTTCAAGCACTGTTCCCGACTCTAATAAGATTCTGAACCTCAGGATTTGGTGTCCACTCTGAACATGGCGTGGGTGTTTAACAACTGTGACAGGACAGATGTCATTAATGTGAAAATGCTCGCAGGCTTCCGCTTTTCCATCCTGCTAAAACAATCTGGTAAGTGCCAGCTTGATTCTTCCCTTTCCCAAAGAGGAAGTCTTATTTCTTGCTGGGAGAGAGGCTGTGTTTGAGGGGGACAGTGTGATACGGAGCATGGGGCCGGGCTGCAGCAGGGGAGAGTGAAGCGGAGTAGCTGTGTGGGAAACACATATAGAAGTTGACTTTCTTAAACGTTGCTGGAGAAGATGTATTTGGATTCCCTTTAATGTCCTTTGACAAAATGGGTTTTCTTTTCTATGATTCTTGGCAACTAAACTGCATTTCTTGAAGGTGACACATATCTGAGATTGCACCATGTGGGCCCCCTTACCATTAATTTTAAGACTCCTTGACTCTTTGTAGATCTGATTTTAAACTGATAAATGTTTCCTTTTGAAATTTCCTATAAGGAACCAGTGTATTCTTGCATGAGGCCCTGTAAGCACATCGCCTTTCCAAGTAATGGCATGGGACCTAGTGCCACCTCTCCCAGCCTCTCTGGGCTGCGTATTACCTCACATATTAAACGAGAAGGCCGTCTGAAGCCGTTTTTCTGTGACTAGCAGGAGTAATAATTCCATTTCCCTATATCAAAAGCCAGTGCTGCCTGGGCTGAGTTTCATTAGTTAATGTAAAAAAAATTGGGAACTTTATATTTAAGCGTTGCTTCGTGTCACTTTGTATTTTACCCATTACTAATTTGTCTTAATAATTCACCACCTGCTTGGAATTTTAAGTTAGCCACTTAATATATGCACCATTATTTTGGGATTTTCAATAGAGCCTGGCTTCGTTGCGTCTCTTGCTTGGCTGTTGTATTTGCCGGCTCATTACTTTCTTTCTTTGCTAGAGTGAAGATCGAGATTACAACACTGAGCTAGAGCATTTTGATTCTGAGGGTGGTTATTCTGAAGAACATGGTATTATTTTTTAAATATTCTCACCTATTCCCCCTTCTATGTTTGGTCATAATCTCTACATTTCAAACATTTGTCTCTTTTGCTACACAGGTAATGATTCTGAGGGGGTCTTGTTAGGTATGTTTTGGAGGGCTTTTTATCTGTATTAAATTTCCACTGGGCGCCTTTAATTCCATCCTGATTTCTTATGTAAAGTTTCATTTGGGGTCCCAGGCGGCCGCTATGACTCAGTCAGGGCTGCACAGAACGGCGTATCCATGTCAGCTAATCAGCACTTGACCGTCTATCATGCTAGACAGAAGTCGGTTGCTGGGCACAAGGGCTGGCAGGAATTCCTTTTCATCTATAAAAAGAATGTCCGGGACTGCATGAACTCTGAAGTATTTGTTGGAAGGTTTAGGTTCTTAACACCGGATTGATTACCTAATTTATTTTTGACTTTGAAAAATGAGTCTGTGGGCTCCAGAAGCAACCACCTTGTGATAGATGCTTAGATCATTTTTGCCTTTTTTATTTTTTTACCCGTATTACTTTATATAGCTTCAAAATTTTTACCAAAGGCTTTGAGTTTGATAATTATTTTTTAAAAATAAATCCATCCCTAAGAATAGACTTTATAAGTATCTTGCTCTGTTGACTTGTATCTTAAAGAGATTTATTTATAGCTCAGACCTTTACTGTCCTGTACAGTAATTAGTAGTCATTTGCAGCTACTGAGCACTTGAAATGTGACCAGTCTGAAATCAGATGTGCTGTAAATACACACAGTGGATTTTAAAGACTTTATTTGAAAAAAAAAAGTAAAAATCTCAATAGTTTTTTAATAACGATGACATGTTGAAATAATATTTGGGGTATGTTGGGTTAAATAAATTACATAACTAAAATTAATTTTACTTATTTCATTTTTACCTTTAAAAAATATGCCTACTAACAGAAAGATAAACTTTGTGTGTTCTCGCTTATTTATGAGAGCTACAAATGAAAACAATTGAACTCATGGAGATAGGCAGTGGAATGATAGTTAGCAGAGGCTGGGAAGGGCAGTGGAGGTTTGGAGTGAGGGGGGATGGTTAATGGTACAAAAAAAATAGTTAGATGAATAAATAAGATTTAGTATTTGATAGAACAGGGTGACTATAGTCAATAATAATTGTACGTTTTAAAATAAAAGAGTGCAATTGGATTGTTTGTAACACAAAAGATAAATGAGTACCCATTTATCCTGATGCCGTTGTTACACATTGCATGCCTGTATCAGAATATCTCATGCAGCTCATAAATATATATACCTACTATGCACCCACAAAATTTAAAAATAAAAAAAGTTTAAATATAATTTTTAAAAATATGATGTGCCTACCAGATAATTTTAAACTGTGTACGTAGCTTGCATTCTCTCTTCCAGTTGGTCATGGACTAGACTGGCTTTTTAGAAAGTATTTCAGGAATTAATAAGAATATTCATCACAGAGTGACCACAGGTTCTCCCCGAGACCTTTTTTTTTTTTCCTGCCTTTCATTTGTTCATGATAGAATTTTGCTCAGAGTTCTTCCATAAAGGTCATGTTTTAATCTATAGCCTGCTTTTAAAGTCTAGAAATACATTGCAGTGATCAGAGCCATGTGGACCACCATTTTAGGATATACTGAAGTAGCTAAATATCTTGTTTCTCCCTTTTCTCTCTTCTGAATATCTTTTCTCCCTTTGGAGACTCAGGCATCTACTCTACTCATTGTGGCCTGTCAGCCTCAACCCACCACCAGAGAAGGTGAAGTACAGGGCTGACCTGGCCCTGGGAAAGCTTCAGAAGACACTGGATTGGGGTTGAGATTTGGGGGGGAACCTGATGCAGGACCCCAAGGAAAGAGGTGGACTTGAGCATGGTTGCTGATGTGCATCTTAAGAGTGATTTGGTGGGGATCCTTTCCTGGCTGCTTTTGTTCTGACCACGCATTGAAAATTGTCATTTCTTAAGATCCGGTAATGTAGGTATTTGAAATTTTGCAGATTTGGCATTCATTCATTCGTTGGAATACTACCAATGTGTTGGTCATGTGCTTTGCTGGGTGCTGAGGTACAAAGCCAAACAACGCATGATTGTGACATGAAGAAGTATAATGGTGTTTTATATGCCAAGTATAGGTTCTGAATGCCGTGTTTTCAGGAGTTAGCAAACATCTGTAAGTCAGGAAGAGAAAATTTGAGGGAATGGGTATTGGGATTCACTTGGGGTGGCTGGCAAAATATTAGAGAAATATTAGGGAAAGTTAGGAGATTATAGTCTTTTTTTTTTTTTGAGACGGAGTTTCGCTCTTGTTACCCAGGCTGGAGTGCAATGGCGTGATCTCGGCTCACCGCAACCTCCACCTCCTGGGATCAGGCAATTCTCCTGCCTCAGCCTCCCGAGTAGCTGGGATTACAGGCACGCGCCACCATGCCCAGCTGATTTTTTGTATTTTTAGTAGAGACGGGGTTTCACCATGTTGACCAGGATGGTCTCGATCTGTTGACCTCGTGATCCACCTGCCTTGGCCTCCCAAAGCGCTGGGATTACAGGCTTGAGCCACTGCGCCTGGCCCAGGAGATTATAGTCTTAAACTTTCTGGAAGGCCAAAAGGTTTTAATGGAACCTTTAAACTGGTTGGAGGCAACCAGTTCATTGTGTTAGAACTTTAAGTCATAAGGTAAAAGATTAGGATAATAAAAGCTTTCCCAGTTAAGCCTATTTACTCCACATTCCTTTGTCTCTAACTGTTTACTCATGTAAACTTTGTGCTGGATGGTCCTTTCAGGGGGAGGTCAAAGAAGAATTACCTGTTAACAGTGTTTATTCTAGGCCCCAGAACCAAAAGCTTTTATCATCTGTAAAACCACTCTTTTAACTATGTTAATTATCAAAAAGCATGTTGACCTAGAACTTCTATTATTAAACCTATACTGAATAAATGTGAGAAGGAACAGGGAGTCATGATGGGTTAGCTGCAATCGCCCTCTGAAAGCAGCTGACGACCTCCCTAGTCCACTCAAATTCACTATACTCTAGTGTGTGAAAGTGTATTTCATTCATCTGTCACTGAGTCAGGGTCTGCAAGACAGACATCTGCAGGTAGTGATCAATGTCTCAGGTGGTGACCCCAACATGATCAAGGTCTCAGATGGGAGGAGGGCTAGTGTAATAAATGCCTGCAATTGTTTGAAAAGCTGCATGTACAAAAGCAAGAGACAAACTACGAATTGCTCCACAGGGCAGAACTAGGAATAGTAGAAATTTGTAGAGACAAATTTTTGGCTCTTCCTAAGAATTATAGCCATCTAATAATTAAATAGGCTATACTGAACAGTGAACATGGATGGATGTTGTCTCAAGATCTTCACGAGTCATCCTCTATTTCCACACTTCCCAGTAGAAGGAACATCCTACCTGACAATGCTCCTCTCTCTGTTTCAGACAAGTAAAGTTGCCCTTAAATTCATTTTATGTTGAAGGGAAGTTGTTCCCTGTAATATCTAGCTGTTCATCATAGATGTTCTTCTGAAAGGACTCAGAGTAAAAGTAATTTATTTTCCATGAGACATTCAAGTGGGTTTTAAAGGCCTACTGGTAGTTTCCCAGGCCAGTGGGTTGGGTGAGGATTAAATGTATGCTATAAGTAGAGAATATAGCATGTGCCATGCCATGGCCAGTTGGGGAATGAGGAGATGCCCACTGTAGCTGGGCCTGCTGGGTTAGAGTTTTACAAGTTGTACAGTCAGAGATGAATTAGGAAGGAAGGGCTAAGGTCATATTTTACAGTGCTTTGTATGCTTTGCTGAAGGAGTTGGACAGTCCCCTGAGAAAGGAAGTTGCTGCTGTGGTCTGAATGTGTCTTCTCCAATATTTATGTGTTGAAACTTCATGACCAATGTTATAGTATTAAGAAGTGGGTCTTTAAGAGATGATTAGGTCATGTGGGCTCCTCCCTCATGAATGCTATTGAGACCTTGTAAAAGAGGCTTCATGACCATACTAAGCCCCGCTTTCCTCTTCTACTATGTGAGAATGCAGCAACAAGGCTCCATTTTAGAAGAAGAGATTTGACTCTACCAGACACCAATCCTACCCGAGCCTTGATATTAGACTTCCCAGCCTCCAGAACTGTGAAAAATAAATTTCTGTTCTTTACAGATTACCCAGTGTTGGGTATTTTGTTATAGCAGCCCAAACAGACCAAGATAGAAGCTATTAGTGGCACTGGTTAGGGAAGTGAAATGGTTGAATTTATTTGGACAATTTGGAGTAGAGGATGAAATAGAGGGATGAGAGACAGATGAGGGAAACCAGTCAGGAGGCTAGTGCAGTAATCACTATGAAAACTCAAGAAGCATCTTATCCATAGTGTAATAAGGAAGTGGCTTGTTCTTGCTGAGTCCATGTTGCTGTCTTCTGATGGCTTTCCCCTCAATACCCAAAGGAGTTTTTATAGTCTGTTGGTCTCCAGTGGAAGAGAAAGTCAGACAGATCCCAATTCTCCATCCTATTGATGCTTATGTGCTTGGTTCCTAAGGAATGATAAGAAAAATAACATAGGAGATTCTTAATCTGATTCTGCTCAGCCTTCTAAAAAATATATTCAGATATCTCCCATATCACTGTCCCCTGACCCCACATCCCGTTCCAGCTCCCTCCAGTTACTGGGTTACTGGCCCAATTTATTTTTTGTTTGTCTGTTTGTTTGTTTTCTTCAAGAGTTATAGTGACTACCTTCACCTGCACTCCCTTGCTTTCTCTTCACTTTACCAGCTGGGCTTCTGACGTCATCATTCCACTAAAATCACTCTTGTCATGTCACCAGCCACCAAGAGCTTGTGAGATACGATAGGCTCTTCCTTGTACTTTTCTTACTCAATTTCTCAGTAGCTTTTGGCACAGTTTGGCAAGAGTATGTTTCTTCTCTTTTGAAACACTCTCTTCTGGCTTTTGGAGAACCATACCTCCCTGTCTTTCCTTCAACTTTCTAGTAGTTTCTACCCAGTCTCCTTTGCTTCTACCTCTTCCTCTCAATTCTGATTTTTATGCCCCCTGAAAATTTGGTCTTCTACATTTCTCTTCTGGATGCGCTTTCCAGATAAACTCATCCAGTCTTACAGTGTTAACTACCACCTAATTGATGGTAACTCTCAGCTGTTAATCTATCACTTCGAACTCCTTAGTGGGCTCCACAGTTGTCTATCCAACTGCCAGTGTGACTTTTCTAGTTGGCTGTTAACTACACATCTCAAACGCAGCATGGCTAAAATAGAACCCTTGATTCTGCTCCCCCTAATCTATTTCGTTCCCAGTCTTCTGTAGCTCTTAAGTGGTGATGACTGTTGTTGCAGCCAAAATCTAGGAGTCATCTTCAATTTCTCATTTTCCATTATCCCTCATCCAAATTATCCACCCAGTGCAAATACACCACTTCATTTGCTCCACTGCTGAGCCCAAGCCCAAAGCGTCATTATATCTCATCTGGACTATTGCAGTGGCTCCTAACTGTTCCCTGCTTCTGTTCCTGATTCTTCTCTCCACCAGACATCCAGAGACATCTTTTAAAACCCTTTCAAATCATGCCATTCCTCTGCTCAAAACCTGTCTTGTGACTTCCCCAGTACTTAGACTAAAGTCCTGTATCTTTGCTGGGGCCTACCATGTGGACTTCATCTGCCACACTCTTCCCATTGCTCTCTGGACTCCAAGCCACCCTGGTGTTTATATTCCTCACACATGACAACCTCATTCTTCACATGGGATGTTTGCATTCACTCTTGCCTCTGCCTGGAAGCCTGGCTGCTTCCTAAGATCTCTATGGACTCAGCTCAAGCCTCACTCTCTGGCCATCCACTTAAAAGTAGCCCCACACTAAGCAGTATCATTTCATCCAGTTTTAATGCCTTCATATTACTCATCATTATCTGAGGTCATCTGTTCCAGATATTATCATTATCCAAATTATCTTGTTCAGAAGCATATGCTTCCATGTTCACCATCTACCTCCCTGCCTAAGCTCCAAGAGAACAAAGCTCTTGCCTATCTTCTTCACTTCTAGACCCCGGCAACTGGAACAGTGCCTGGCACATAGTGCATACTACGTGAATGAATGAATGTTACCTTTTTGTATTCTTTCTTGAGTATGTACTCTTCCTTTCTATTTTTTTGTAACCTGATGTCACCTAGAAGTTCCTGTACTGGCATTCTCCAGAGAAGTCTCATGATCTGCCATTTGCAAGCTGGAGATCCAGATGAGCCAGTGGTATAGTTCAAAGGCTTGAGAGCTAGAGAGCTGAAGGCATAGATTCCAGTTCAGTCTGAATGCCTGAGAGCCAGGAGAACCACGGGAAGGGGAAGATTAGTGTCCTAGCTCAAGCAGTTAGGTAGAGAGCAAATTTAACCTTGCTCTGTCTTTTTCTTCTACTCCAGCCCTCAAGGTATTGAAATGTACACATTAACGCTGGAGAGCACTGTTGCTTTACTCAGCCTGCCCATGCGAATCTCTTTTGGAAACACCTTCACAGACACATCCCAGAAATAATGTGCAGATATTCAGATGTCCGGACATCCCATGGCTTAGATGAGTTGACACATAAAATTAAGCATCGGCTGGGCGCAATGATCCCATGCCTGTAATCCCAGCACTTTGAGAGGCCTAGGAGGGCAGATCATGAGGTCAAGAGATCGAGACCATCCTGGCCAACATGGTGAAACCCTGTCTCTACCAAAAATACAAAAATTATCTGGGCGTGGTGGCGCACTCTTGTAGTCCCAGCTACTCGGGAGGCTGAGGCAGGAGAACTGCTTGAACCCAGGAGGCGGGTTCAAGTGCAGTGAGCTGAGATCGCGCCACTGCACTCCAGCTTGGCGGCAGAGCAAGACTCCATGTCGAAATAAAATAAAATAAAATAAAATAAGCATCACACCCCCTGTGCACCCATATTAATTTATTTCCTCATTTTTCCTTTCCTCCTTCATCAGGGCAGACTCCAGTTTCTCACCCAGGATTTTGTTCTTAGAAGCCACCCCTCTCTCCCAATCCCTCCTGAGTTTCTTTCTCTTAGAGTCTTTGTTCATGGGGTAATGGTCATCATCTCTGACCTCTTTGAAATCCGGACCGTTCTCTTCTTTGGTTTTCATGAATGCAAAATTTTCTTGGCATTTATTGGTGACAGTTGTGGAAGAGATGTCATGAATGCTGAGCAGGCTTTACTGTTGAGAAATGCCTCGTGTGGAGATTAAGTCCTTTTAGCTGCAACTGGAGCCCACTTTCTTTGCATCCATCTTTTTACTCTGAAATGCCTTTTCTGATTATACAATGGTGTATGTTAAATGTAAACAAGAAATTAGTACACAAGAATTAGAGGTAAAAGTTTTTCCTGTATTCCATCTCCTAGAGGAAAACCATTAAGAGACTGCTGTGTGTCTTTATACATTTTGCTGTCATATTTATAGAAACAAATGTTTCTGTATGAAATCATTTTATATATCCTTTTCTATCTACCCTTAAAAAAATAATTTGGAGACAGAGTCTCGCTCTGCAATGCAATGGCACGATCTGGGCTCCCTGCAACCTCTGTCCCCCAGGTTCAAGCAATTCTCCTGCCTCAGCCTCCCAAGTAGCTGGGATCACAGGTGTACACCACCATGCCTGGGCTATTTTTTGTATTTTTAGTAGAGACAGGTTTTTGCCATGTTGGCCAGGCTGGTCTCAAACTCCTGACCTTAGGTGATCTGCCCACCTTGGCCTCCCAGTGTTGGGATTACAGGCGTGAGCCACTGCTCCTGGCCATACCATTTCTTTTTTAATCCAGCTCTCTGTCTCTCTCTCATTTTTTCTCTATCTGTATGTCTATGTGTATATTTAAACTTCTTTTTTATGGTGATAAAAGTGCATCATGTTTAGCAATTGCATAGTTGTTCCCTATATGAAGCGGGGGAAAGGAAGGGCACAAGAAACCAATAAGATTTTGGAGAAAGTCAGGACTCAAGAGTATAGGAATCAGGGGCCAAAGTGAAATTGCTATATTTGATAGCGGGCAGGGGAAGGACTAGTCTTTTAACAACGGAAGGTCTGATGTTTAAGTTTCAGTTAGTTGCTACTATGTTTTTGTTTTTTTGAAATGGAGTCTCACTCTGTCACCCAGGCTAGAGTGCAGTGGCACACTGTAACCTCTGCTTCCCAGGTTCAAGGGGTCTTCTGGCCTCGGCCTCTCGAGTAGCTAGGAAGAGAGGGGCATACTACCACAGTCAGTTAATTTTTGTATTTTTGGTAGAGAGGGTTTCACCATGTTGGCCAGGCTGGTGTTGAACTTCTGACCCCAAGTGATTCACCTGCCTTGGCCTCCCAAAGTACTGGGATTACAGGCATGAGGCACAGTGCCTGGCCCGCTGCTATGTTTCATATGTGCAGCAGAGTGTCTGAGTGTCTCACACCTCCTCTATGGCTTCCCTTTGCTCATGTCCCCACATAGCTATTATAGTTTACCACATAAAACAAGTTGTGTGAGCACTATTTGTGAAAATCAAAGAAAGGGTCTATGTGGTATGTCTGTCCATAGTAGATGGAGAAGGAGGAGCCATGGGAAGCAGCACAGGGAAGAGAGCCAGGATTCACTGGGGCAGGGAACTGGACAAACTGCGGACTCCCAAGAACCCCTAGAGAGTTTGGGTTGGATGCCGAGCTTCTCTTTCCCCATGAGAAGGAATTTTGATCCAATATTTAAAATCCTTTGAATTACAGAACAACACTTGCTGCTATCTGAACTATATACTTTTGTACCATAATTTAGCCAGTTCCTGTTCATGATCATTTAGAGTTTTCCAATTTTTCCCCTTTTCATACTTTTCTCAGTAATGAAAGTATTGCATCTACTTCCAAACAGATACAGTGAGTAATAGATATAGTGCTCCCCATTCCCCACAAAAAAGACCAGGATATTTTGAAGATAATCCCCGGAGGAGTCAGCATGGCTCAGAGCCCATAGTTCCCCTGTGCTACTTCCATGATGTTAAATTTCAAACCAGAGATTACATTTTAATTATAATAGCATGCTTTAGAGGGATTCACAGCTTTAAAAAACAACTGGAGGCAAATTGTACATGCAAGTGAATAAATGTCTTAGCTATGTGATTTCCATTCTCAAAGCTTGATTCATAACACTCGGATTCCTAAAATCTGTTCTTGCTTTCTTTTGTCCACCATATTATGGGTTATCTCAGACTGCTCATGATTAATGAGGTGACTACCGCTGACTTTTCCAATGAAGAAAAGAAAGAAAAAAAAGCATTGTTTCATATTGGAAAGTTGTACATAGCCTTTGTGCTTTATGAAGAAAATAAAATTGTGCTAAATACAGTTTTAGGTTTTTCCTTTTTTGGCCTTATGTATGGTTTAAACAGTGAACAAACAAATGTGATCATGGTGTATTTCAGCATTTTCTTTCTTTTTTTTTTTTGTTTTTGAGATGGAGTCTTGCTCTGTCACCCAAGTTGGAGTGCAGTGGTACAATCTCAGCTCACTGCAACCTCCACCTTCCAGGTTCAAGCCATTCTCCTGTCTTAGCCTCCTGAGTAGCTGGGATTACAGTGCACCACCATGCCTGGCTAATTTTTCTATTTTTAGTAGAGACAGGGTTTCACCATGTTGGTCAGGCTGGTCTTGAACTCCTGACCTCAGGTGACCCACCTGCCTTGCCTTCCCAAAGTGCTGGGATTACAGGCATGAGCCACCATGCCCAGCCTGGCATTTCCTTTGTAAGCCTAGCCTTACAATTTTCAATCAATCTCTAAAACCAGATGTACAAGTGTACAGTTCACCTGTCAACTATAAATGATGCTCTTATGTGTATTATATATAACATATACTAATTTTAATTTCCTACTACATTTCTAGTATGTATGACATTATGAAAATGTTAATTAGCATAATTCAACACAGTTGCTGAAGATTGTTGGATAACTTTCCTTTTAAGGTTTTAGATGATGTTCTCCTTATAATACCAACAACATGGAGAAAAGTTGTGCAAGAAAATGGTATTCCTATCTGGAGGCTTGGAGACTTATGTCCCCACCTTAAAAAGAAAACAAACTGGAAATGTACAGTTTGAAAATGAAAGTTTCGAGAGAAGAAATAACCTAAGAATTTTAAAGTTATAGATTTTATTTGATTTTGAAACGAAGTCTCACTCTGTCCTCAGGCTGGAGTGCAGTGGTGTGATCTCAGCTCACTGCAACCTCTGACTCCTAGGTTCAAGCAATTCCCCTGCCTCGGCCTCCTGAGTACTTGTAAAGGCATGTGCCACTATGCCTAGCTATTTTTTTTTTTTTGTATTTTTAGTATAGACAGGGTTTTTACTATGTTGTCTAGGCTGTTCTCAACTCCTGACCTCAAGTGGTCTGCCTGCCTGGGCCTCCCAAGGTGCTGAGATTACAGGTAAGCCACCGCACCAGGCTAAGGTTATAGATTTTTTTTTTTTTTGACTTGATCAGTTTCTAAGCAGTTAACGACTGGGAAAAGCACAACTACTCCTATTTAAGACTCATATGTGATCACTGGTTTTAAAAAAAAGAAATACATATTTCTCAAAATAAGTAACGTAAATGCAGAATCTGCTGTATCATCTGTTTCATAGTTGAGATATCTGAGCTTCCTCCTCTTTTGACACTATGAGTGCTAAGTGATCACATTAAATAATCTGTGCTGATAGTTAAAAGTTAAATTACTTTCATCAAAGGCAGAATGTTCTTATTTAGCTTCTCCACAGCTGGCAAGAATTGGTTTAGTTCAGTAAACATTAACTGTGTGTGGGCCAGCCAGTGTGCTGGGCTTAGTGGGTACAAATCCCAACAAAGAACCCATGTCCTTGAGGAACTCAAGGGGTGAGAGTTTGGTGGACAGTCATAGACAGATGCTTCAGTGTAATCTGGTAAGAGGTAGTGAGGTAGAATTCTGTGCAGGCCACTGGATGAGCTCTCCTCCACCTGGGGTTCTGAGAAACCACCTTGAAGCCAACTCTTTAAGGAGGTATAAGAACCAGGTAAAGAGACAAAACACAGAGCCAGTGTGAGCTGGGGAGTGCAGAAAAGAGGAGGGAGAATGAATGAGTAGGTTTCTGGCCTTTGTGGCTGCCTGAGATGGAAAATAGGAAGTAAAAGGACTGGGAGGGGAGGGGCCAATGACTTCCACTGCAGATTTCTGGGGTATTGGAGCCGTTTGAGGGATGTCCAATGGGCTGAAGCTCAGAGGAGTGGGCAGGGATGGAGCCATGTCAGTGAAACATACACATGAGAGTCAAAACTATGAGAGAGGTTGACATCCCCAGAACAAGGAACACTGGGGAATGTGAGTGTTTTAGGAAGTGGGTAGGGAAAGGGAGTCCAAAAAGAAACTTTCAGGTAGGAGGAGGCCGATGGGACAGCATTGTCCCAAGAACATAGGGAGTTTTTAGAATGGAGACAAAGGACAACAGTCTCAAGAGCAGTAACGCACTTTGTAAAGACAATGGCTGGCCGGGCACAGTGGCTCACGCCTGTAATCCCAGCACTTTGGGAGGCCGAGGCGGGTGAATCACCTGAGGTCAGGAGTTCAAGACCAGCCTGAGCAACATGTTGAAACCCTATCTCTACTAAAAATACAAAAATTAGTCAGGTGTGGTGGCAGGCACCTTTAATCCCAGCTACTGAGGAGGCTGAGGCAGGCGAATTGCTTGAACCCCGGAAGCAAAGGTTGCGGTGAGCCGAGATTGCATCACTGCACTCCAGCCTGGGCGACAAGAGCAAAACTCTGTCTCCAAAAAAAAAAGAAAGAAAAACAAGATAATGGCTGACGAACATCCCCTAGATTTGGCAGTGTGGGTGGTCACTGATGACCGTTAGGCAGTGGAGTAATAGGGCCTACATGCCACATTTCAGAAAGGAGTGGATGGTGTCAGGAACATGGAGAGGCCACCTGTGACTTCTAACCCAACCCAGAAAAAGAACCCATAAACATATATATGTTTTATACAAAATACATAATTATAACTTTTATTTTGCCTGTCCTGTTCCTGTATTTTGGTGACTAAAGTGCCATGAGTTACAAGTGGTGCAATTGTAGCTCACGACAGCCTTGACCTTCCAGGCTCAGGTGATATTCCCACCTCAGCCTCCCAAGCAGTTAAGACTACAGGCGTGCACCACCACACCCAGCTAACTAAAAAAAAAAAAATGTAGAGACAGCTTCTCGCTCTGTGGCCAAAGGCTGCATATAAGCTTCTGAATTCCTGGCCTCAAGCTATCCTCCCACCTTGGCCTCGTAAGTGCTGGATTACAGGTGTGCTCCACCACACCCAGCCTCTTTCCCTGTTTTAACCTCTACCCTGAAGTAGAGTACCCTTCCACTGTTTGTTTTCCTCCTTTTGACCTCCCGTCTGTTGACGTTAAAAATAACAACCACAACTAATTTGCATGGTTCTTTGTAATTTATAAAATACTTTCACATATACCACTTTATTTAATATGCTCACCCATCTTTTCTTTTGGTGTCATAACTAATTTACAATTGTTTAGGATGGAGGCCCAGACATACAGATTCCTAGGTGCCTTGTAATTCGATCTCACCTATTGAGGAAACTGAGGCTTGGGCATATGTCCTATTTTATCACTATTTGGGGGGTTCTGGCTTTAGAAGCTAACCTCCTGATTTTCACTGCACAACTCTGATTACAAGGTGGAGACACTGGGGAGGCTCAGGCAACCCTGTTAGCACTCAGTACAGACGAATTCTGGCCCGTAGCCAACCAAGAGCCTATGTCTTTAAGCCATCCTGACTCATGTGCTGGTTACTGGTATGCAATAAACCAGACCACAGACCCTCCCCCTTATTCTTACTTGTCTGAGACTCCCTCACTTTTTTCCCACTCCTGACCTCTGCTTACTCCCAGTTCTTTTTCTGTTTCTATCTAGCTTCCTGCACTTTGAATTTTATCTCCTGCTAGAGAACATTCCTCCTTTCTGCCCAGTCGGCATCCATTCTACTGAATCTATCAATAGCACCTCTATATAGTCCACTGGAGATGGCCCATGGCTGATTACCATATTGTGCTGCCCTGGCCTCCGTGATTGGTTTGTGGGTGGGCTTGTGATCCAAATCAAGCAAATCAGGGTCAATCCTGGAAAATGACTCTCTCACAGGGGACCCTAAGGTTACTGCCTGTGTGAATAAAGCCAGTAAGGAGGCAGCATAGCTAATAGATGGGGCAGCAAGGTTTTTTGTTTGTTTGTTTATACTTTAAGTTCTATACATGTGCAGATTGTGTAGTTTTGTTATATAGGTATACACATGGCATGGTGGTTTGCTACACCCATCAACCCATCATCTACATTAGGTATTTCTCCTAATGCTATTCCTCCCCTAACCCCCCACCCCCCAACAGGCCCTGGTGTGTGATGTTCCCCTCCCTGTGTCCATGTGTTCTCATTGTTCAACTCCCACTTATAAGTAAGAACATGCAGTGTTTGGCTTTCTGTTCCTGTGTTAGTTTGCTGAGAATGATGGTTTCCAGCTTCATCCATGTCCCTGCAAAGGACATGAACTCATCCTTTTTTATGGCTGCATAGTATTCCATGGTGTATATGTGCCACATTTTCTTTATCCAGTCTATCATTGATGGGCATTTGGGTTGGTTCCAAGTCTTTGCTATTGTGAATAGTGCTGCAATAAACATACGTGTGCATGTGTCTTTATGGTAGAATGATTTCTAATCCTTTGGTTATATACCCGGTAGTGGGATTGCTGGGTCAAGCAAGGTTCTTTAATATCCTCTGCATGCTCAGATCCAACTTACTGGAGATGGAGCTCTCCCTCAAGTTTTCAAGTATACAAGCAGTGAAGTCCCCATGTATGTTTAATCCCATTGAGATGATTGGCAGTTGTAAACACAAGAGCCTTAACTATTATTCTTCCCAAAGCCCCCCCACCCCACCTTGTTTTTTTTTTTGAGACAGAGTCTCACTCTGTCACCCAGGCTGGAGTGCAATGGTGTGATCTTGGCTCACTGCAACCTCTGCGTCCCAGGTTCAAGTAATTCTCCTGCCTCAGCCTCCTGAGTAGCTGGGACTACAGGTGCACACCACCATGCCAAGCTAATCTTTGTATTTTTATAGGGACGTGATTTTGCCACATTGGCCAAGAGGTATTGAATTCCTGATGTCAGATGATCCACCCACCTAGGCCTCCCAAAGTGCTGGGATTATAGGTGTGAGCCAATGCACCTGGCACCATCTCCTCTTTTTAGCCTCATTTTGCTCCTGTGTCTCTCTGGGACTTACTGGGATGGATCCTCGCAATCTCTAGGATTTGCTTCTGACCAGTCCTCTTACTCTCGGCTTCATCAGTTACCCCACACCTTGCTGGTTCCTGCCCCAGCTCCTGGGACTCAAGCCCTAAGTTCTAACTGGTGTCATTACCATACACCAGCCATCTCCTCCCCCACCACCCCTGCCATGTCCCTCCCAAACGCTCTCAGGGGATTATTTCTTTATCTTTCTTTCTTTCTTTCTTTCTTTTTTTTTTTTTTGAGATGGCATCTCACCGTGTCACTCAGGCTGGAGTGTAGTGGCGCAATCTCAGCTCACTGCAAACTCTGCCTCCTGGGTTCAAGTGATTCTCCTGCCTCAGCCTCTTGAGTAGCTGGGACTACAGGTACATGTCACCATGCCCAGCTAATTTTTATATTTTTAGTAGAGACGGGTTTCATCATGTTGGCCAGGATGGTCATGATCTCCTAACCTAGTGATCCACCTGCCTCGCCTTCTCAAAGTGCTGGAATTACAGGCGTGAGCCACTGCGCCCAGCCTGAACTGATTATTACTATTATTGATAATGACAGAAGAAATATCTACCATTAACCCAATATTTTTTGTTGCGGTAAAATATACATAACATGTATCCGGCATTTAAACCGTTTTTAGGTGTGCAGTTCAGTAGCATGAGCATATTCACTGTGGTGTGCAGCCGTCACGCTATTCATTTCCAGAACTTTTTCATTATCCCACCAGAAACTCTGTACCCATTAAAAATAACTCCTCACTGCTCCCTGCCCCCAGACTCTGGTAACGTCTTTTATTTCTGTCTCTATGAATTTGCCTATTCTAGGCACCTTATATCCCTGGAATCCTGTATTTGTCCTTCTGTGTCTGGTGTGTTTCACTTAAAACGGTATTTTCAGAGCTTGTGTATGTTGTAGCAGCATCAGAATTGTATTCCTTTTTAAGGTTGAGTATTATTCCCTCACATGTATATGCCACATTTTGTTTATCCACGTATCTGTCAATGGACATGTGGGTTGTTTACAGCCTTTGGCTACTGTGAATAATGCTGCTATATCGGTTTGAGTCCCCCCTTTCGATTCCTTTGGGTATATACCAAGAGGTGGAATTGCTGAGTCAACCAAGCATGTGCTTTATGCTCACTATTTTATTTGCTATTCACAACACCTCTATGTGATATTATTATTAATGCTACTTTGAAGCTGAGGATCTCTACTACAATACAAAAAAATTAGCTGCGCATGGTGGTGTGCACCTGTAGTCCCAGCTACTCAGGAGGCTGAGGGAGGGGAATCGCTTGAAGCCGGGAGATGGAGATTGCAGTGAGTGGAGATGATGCCACTAAACTCCAGCCTGGCGACACAGCGAGACTCCGTCTAAATAAATAAATAAATAAAAATAAAACCGAGGAAACTGAGACTCAGAGAAATTAACACACCAAGGACACATCCTGTGCTGTTCTTGCTGCTGCTACTCATAAAGTCATCTCTCCAAGCCCTCAAGGAACACAGAGGGAGCATACACTGTATGCCAGGCCCTGGGCTCCATGCCGAGGCACACCGTCACCTGTTCATTCCTAGTGTAGCCTCCCGTGAATTGAGAGAAAGTGCGATCACCCTGTAGCATGCTGCATGGATGGTGCAGGGCCAGGCCAGCCTGTCACACATGGTGTCTTGTCTCTGCCATTTACACTGCTGGGTTTTACTCTTGCCAAGCCAGTGACCAGTTTTACCAGCCTCTTTCATTTCCTTACCTGAACCAACCCTGTCTGTAGGTGGAAGGAACAAAAAACAAGTAAAAAAAAAAATTATATATTGCTTCTGATTATAAAAATGATACCTAATCATTGTGGTCAATTTGGAAAAAGATAGCAACACACAGCAAAGAAAGAAGGAACCACCCTATAATCATGCCATTTGAGTATTCTTTTAAAAAGTTTAAAATAAATTAATAAAATGTTATCATCAATTAGAAAAGATCTAAGTAATTTGGTATCAATGTACTCAGTAAAACAAAAGCAAGAAATTGTCCCTAAACATTTCCCCATCTACCTTTGACGGGTTTAAATTATTCAATTCAGTTACTGGCGATTTATGTCTTTATGTTTGAAGGACATTTATCCTACAGAACTTGACAGATGGTTGCTGCGATGGCTTTATGATTATCCATCATCCAGAAGAAAATGCTCCATAATCTGTGTGCATTAACTTTAACTATTTGGAAGGAACATGGGTACTTTGGGAGAAAGCTACCACATGTAGAAAGCATATAGTAAGACGTTTCTAGTAGAAAGCATTATTATCTAAACTCGAATGCCAGAGGCCGAGACTATGTAAATTACACTGGATTCACACCAGGAAAAGGATTCCCTCCCTTTGTGACTCCACAGGGTACCCTCTGCCTTCCGTCACTTTAGTTCAGATTGCTGTGGCTGCTCAATGCCTTAGCATTGCTCTACAGGGCTGCTCAAGCCATATGGCACCTCTGTACACATTACAAGGTGCTCCTTCCTTCCTCTGAAAGGAGGTTGCCTTGCTCCAGAGCTTGGTCAGCAGAGGCGCGGTGAGTTCTTTCTTCACCTGCGTCTTTGTCCAGGCACCCTTGTCCAGCAAACAAAAACTCTATGTGATTAGTGATCCTGGCTCTGCCTTTTTGAGGCTTCACATCCTCTGGGGGTGCAGATGCTGTGGTTATTCTAAATAGAGGTGATGCGGTCCCAATTCTAGGTGAGCCCTGGTGATGCAGTCCTCAATTCAACACATATCTTTTTTTTTCCCCGAGACAGAGTTTTGCTCTTCTTGCCCAGGCTGGAGTGCAATGGCATGATCTCAACTCCCTGCAACCTCCCCGCCTCCTGGGTTCAAGTGATTCTCCTGACCAAGCCTCCCTAGTAGCTGGGATTATAGGCGTTCACCACTAAACCCACCTAATTTTGTATTTTTAGTGGAGACGGGGTCTCTTCATGTTGTTCAGGCTGGTCTCGAACTCCCAACCTTAGGTGATCCACCTGCCTCGGCCTCCCAATGTGCTGGGATTACAAGCTTGAGCCACCGCGCCCAGCCCTCAACACATATCTTTGAACTTTTACTGTCCAAACCTAGTCCCCATGGAAAGGCTACTTGGACCTGGACATCAGTCCTATCTTCTCTTTGGCCACTGCCACCAACTCTGTTACTCAGGCTTGAACTTTAAACAAAGTCCTCTAGGTCTCAGCTGGATTTATTGGAGATAGCTTTGTCTCCCAGCACTTTGGGAGGCCGAGGCAGGTGGATTGCTTGAGGCCAGGAGTTCAAGACCACCCTGGCCAACATGGTGAAACCCTATCTCTACAAGAAATACAAAAATTACCTGGGCACGGTGGCACACACCTGTAATCCCAGCTACTTGGGAGGCTGAGACATGAGAATCACTTGAACCCAGGAAGCACAGTTTGCAGTGAGTCATAATCATGCCACTGCACTCCAGCCTGGACAACAGGGCAAGACTCTGTCTCAAAAATGAAAAGAAAAAAAGAAATGTTACTGATATAAGTATTAGCAGCTATCCAGATTAACACAGACTGCTAATAGAGGCAGGAAGAGATCAGCTACAAAGCTATGACCCCATTTAAAACTCTTCCCATTTCTAATTGATTCTTTTTCATTGGAAGCTAAAGTTCACCCTCCTTCTACAAAAACAATTTTACAATTCCGTTTGTTTTTTATGTTTTGGTTCTTAAACTTACTAGGACTACTAGGTTTCAAGTCTTTCTCTCTTTTAAGGTACTCCTGAAGAGTTTCTCTCTTATGTCTATTGCTATTTAACTCATATTTTCTTTGGTCTGAGGAGCCAAGATCCGTGATTCCAGCTGTAGGCGGCTTGGGTTTTTGCTTTACCATGGTGACGTTTTTATAAAAGTCAAAACAGCAATTACATTGCCTTAGAAGTGGTGGTTGAATTTTGCATGTTAGAAACAGTTATTGCGCCATTATGCAAATGAAATGTAATTTTATGGAAATATGTAATGCAGAATGAAGCTGAGTGGCTTAAGTACAAATCCTTATGCTTTTGTTTGGTTAATGCACTTTCAAAAATACTGTTAGGTTAGCTGGCACGGCAAGCATCTGTAGTCCCAGCTACTCAGGAGGCTGTTGTGGAAGGATCACTTGAGTCCAGGAGTTCGAGGCTGCAGTGGGCTAAAGTTGTGCCACTGCACTGCATCCTGGGCAACACAGTGAGACCCTGTTTCTAACAAACACAAATTTTAAAAGTTGTTAAGTTGAAATTTAGGTCATTGACCCTTCACAATAACAGAAATGATTGACAATGCAAATGTGATCCAAAGCATGCACTCCAGAATTACCTACTAGCTTACGGTCTTTGGGAAAAGCACTGACTCTCTCGGCCTTAGTTTCCCCATCTGTAAAATGGGGCTACTAATAGTATCACTATCTTGGCTTTTTGCAAGGATTAAATGAGTTCATGTGTGTGAAGTGATTAGAATAGGGCCTGGCATATAGTTGGAACTACTAGTTTAAAAGTGTTAGCTATTACATGAAAAAAAGTGTTAGTGTTACATGAAAAATGATACGATTATCTTCTGGAAATCAGATAAAATTTAGATATGCGTTTTATAATACGGTGTTATTTCTTGAATGCTTCAACCAACCTAGTTGTGATAAAGTCCGACAGTGACAAATATGGATGTTTAAATGTTTTAAAACAGAGTAGTGCTGCTTTGTTTTGCACATTTTTGATAGTTGAATTACCGTCGGTGTTTTCCCTCTCGGATGGGATATGTTGATACTAGAGTCAAGGTAAGCGTAGTAAACAGAACCTTAGTTTTCCTTTGACACCTGACTGGTGAGTCTGATTCTGTTATTCCCGTGGCAAGATCCACTGCTCTGTTTTGCTTCGTGAACAGCTTGTTTGGATTGTACTTTCTCTCCTACTCACCGCTGTAGGGCAGCCCACCCTTGCAGTGAGTTTACTTTTGAAAATTTGGCCCTTGATTTTGCAGCTTGTCTGTACAATAAACAGCCAACCCATGCCAATTTTCTTCCAGGCTCTCTTTGGCAGAAGAATGATGACTGGCTGTTCCTCAATAGGTGACCAGAAATTTAGCTAAAATATAAGAAATCCAGCGGTAAACTATTTCAATCTTTTTTATTGCAGAAATGGATGCCATTGTAACTTTGAAAAATGCATCATGGCCACTTAATTTCCCTTTTTACATTACATTTTAGACAAGTAATTTTTTGAAATCCAAGGTCATATGAACTACAGGCAGAATTCCCAGCAGTGCTGTAGATTCTCCCTGAAAGAAAGGTCTCTAGGCTTGGCTTAGGAACTGTGGGTGAGGAAACAAAGAATTTCCTTTTGGACTACTAGTCTGAGCTGGCTGATCATTACCCCTCTTTGTTGGTGCTCTAAATGTGTCATGATGAAACTGTAAGACAGTTCAATGCAAAACTGTATTCAGTAATTTATATCTTCTTAATCTCTTTTTGATGCTTTTATAGTGGCTAGTGGTATCTGTGGTTAAGGGATGCCAGACAGCTTTCTCTTTTTAAATATCTAGCCTAGCATTTATCTGTCTATTCATCTACCAGTCCAGCTCTTGAATTGGAAATGATCATAAGTGATTTATAAGTATTCGTAAGATATGATAATGTACGATGGATTAAAGCCCAAGTGACAGAGGAAAGAAACACAGTAAGATCCTAATACTCAGTCAGATGTGAAAGTTAAAATACAAGATCATGTAGCATTTTAACTTTCACCAGTGGTTTCAATATTGAGCAGCCACTGTACTCCCCATGGGGTATTTGTTAAAAATGCAAGTTCCTTAACCTCACCCTGGGACCCCCGGCAACTACATTGTTAACCCGTGCACCCAGGCGATCCTGATGCAGGTGGTTGTAGGACCACACTTTAGAAGACCTGATCTATTTCCTTGCTGCAGATGGGTGAATTTGGCTCCAGGTTTTCTGGCAGTCAACATGAACAAGGAAGACTGACTTTTCCTAGTGTGCAGGAGATAACATCCTTGGCATATGGTATCCGTGAAGATTTAACTATGCTTATATCAACTGCAACTGGAATAGCTGAATAGAATTTTTGCTTGTATAGGAATTCAGAAAGGAAACGTCATCCGTAGTCCTCCCTAACATGAAATATGTCAACAAGTCCGTGGTAGCCAACTAAACAATATTAACTGAACTTTTCTTTTGGTAAAAGGATGCAAAATCCTCTTAGGGAGAAAGGGAAGACAAAAGGAAGGAAAGATGGAAAAATACAAAAAAAGCAGAGGAGTGAGAGAATGAAAAATAACTACGGCCACACTTTGAACAGTGGTTTGCTACTATCAAATACATGCATACCCCACCACCCAGCAGTTCATGTTTAAGAATTTGTGCACACTGACGCCAGAAGGCATGGAAAGTCGATAGCATCATGGTTTATAATAGCCCAAAACTGGAAACAACCCAAATGTCTATCAACAGTAGAATGGATAAATTGTTAGATACAATGTAATACTAAAATGAACTACAGTTATGTGTAAAAACATGAGTGAATTCTAAAAACATAATGCTGATCAAAGGGATTGATCAGAAGGGAACAAATACATACTGTATGAATCCATGTATCTAAATTTCAAAGTGGGGAAGAAGAGAACTGACATATTATTTAGGACAGCCTGCTTTTTAAGTTTTTGAGACAGAGTCCTGCTCTGTTCACTCTGTCTCCCAGGCTGGAGTGTAGTGGTGTGATCATGGCCCACTGCAGCCTCAAACTCCTAGGCTCAAGTGATCCTCCTGCCTTGAGCCAGCATGTCTGGCCAACTTTTTTTTTTTTTTTAAGACAGGGTCTTGCCATCCACCACTTACAGTACAAAGGGCCCTAAAGTAAATTGGTTGAAGAAACTAGATCCCAAAGATTCTTGATGAATTTTGAGGTCTTTATCAGTATATCCATTTTAAAAGGAGATGACAGAAGCCAAAATAAAGGAATTATGGGCTGACAGGACGACTGGATTAAAATAAGCATAATAAGCATCGGTTTCACCACTCCAGCTCTTCAGAGGATCTAAAGTGACCTTGATGGGCAGTGGAAGAAATCACAACATGGAATTCCTTGAATAAAAATTTATTGACTTAAAAAAAAAAAAAAGACAGGGTCTCACTGTATTGCCCAGGCTGGATTTGAGCTCCTGGGCTCAAGCGATCCTCCCGCCTCAGCCTCCTGAGTAGCTGCAATTACAGGTGTGTGCCACTGCACCTGGCTAAACATTTCTAATTTAGGATAAACTAATTAAGTTATTAAACTTTTCCTTGAAATTCTGTGTTCTGTGGTTACAGTTTTCTAGAAGGGCTGGTAACACTTTTAAGCAAATTTGCCTTAGTCATCTGAAGATTTTATTTTGCATGAAATAAATACTAAGCATATATTCACTTTTCTAAAGAAATAGTTTCCATATATTAAAATAATACATATTTATTTAAAATGATAAATAATGAAAAGATGAACAATTAATGGACATTTTAAAAGATTAAAACTTGGCCAGGAACAATGGCTCACGCCTGTAATCCCAACACTTTGGGAGGCCGAGGTGGCAGATCACGAGGTCAGGAGTTCAAGACTAGCCTGGCCAACATGGTGAAACCCTGACTCTACTAAAAATACAAAAATTAACCAGGCATGGTGGCGTGTGCCTGTAATCCCAGCTGCTCAGGAGGCTGAGGCAGGAGAGCTGCTTCAACTGGGACCCGGGAGGTAGAGTTTGCAGTGAGCCGAGATTGAGTCACTGCACTCCAGCCTGGACTATGAGTGAGATTCTGTCTCAAAATAAATAAATAAATAAATAAATGTTAAAAATAAGATAAAAACTAAGTATGACAAAGGTAGAGAAAATATTCCTGAATTATACTGTTAATAATGTTCTCTCCCATTCATATGGAGAGAGAATGGATTAGGAGACTTCTTGATACCGAGTTTATGGAAAAATAGATGGTTGTTACTATCTCTTGTGTGTCTCCTTTATGCCATTTACCACAATAGGTACTTATGTTTTGGGTTGTTGTTATTGTTATTTGAGATGGAACTCAAATAAATTTTATAATTCAACATAAAAAAATACTCTGTCACCCAGGTTGGCGTGCAGAGGAGGGATCTCTGCTCACTGCAACCTCTGCCTCACAGGTTCAAGTGATTCTCCTGCCTCAGCCTCCCGAGGGATTACAAGAGCACCACCACATCTAGCTAATTTTTGTATTTTTAGTAGAGACAGCGTTTTGCTATGTTGGCCAGGCTGGTCTTGAACTCCTGACCTCAAGCTGTCTGCCTGCCTTGGCCTCCCAAAGTGCTGGAATCACAGGTGTGAGCCAACACGCTTGGCTAGTACTCATGTATTTTGTTTGCAACTATCTCAAAAAATTCCTGAGAATGAAGAACTGTTTTCCCCACTATTCCCTAACCTCTTCCCACTCCTCTTATTCCTTTCTGTTCAAATTCATTCACACAAGAAGTTTTGCAAACTCATCCTTCATGTGAAGCAATTTTTACTGTTTCTTGTGCCTCAAATCTAATTTGCTTTGTTCTGATGCTAACAGCTGAGCGGAATTGAGTAATAAATTTTAAATTAATGAATTAGAGCTAAAAGCTTTCTAGTCTGTATCTGTTTCCCTACCAGCTTCGGTTGGTAGGATTTTGACAAACAAATTTGGAATCATCTGAGAAAATCTTGAACTCATCTGTCATTGTTTGTCCCCAGTAGGAGCTAAAGATGGGATTAGTGGGGTTTTGCCATAATAAACAGTCTGAATCTTCAGTGAGAGCTATGAAACCTAACTCCCAGTCATTTCTAGAGGATGTGTCCAGACTGTGCCCCTTTATTGGCCTTTACAAAAATAGCTTCCGTGCATTCTCTAAAACTGATTCTTTTCATGATGCATTATTTATTCCACTTAACTTAGAGAGACTATACAGTGTGATTCATTTTTGAGCTTCTCATTTATGCAGAAAACAAGAATTACCACTAACATTTTATAATTGCTGTCTTCTAATGCATTCATTAGACTGGAGGTCATATGAAATTTTTCATTCCTCATTGATGCTTACAGAAAATAAGGAAAAAGACACTTGAAAATTTAAAGTGCACATTCTAATACCCCTATGTGCAAGGATTATTTCACTTTATATATAGTTATTATTTTAAGTGAGATATGATTTGATATTTTATTTCTTCTGTATTGTGTCATTTCAGAGCAGGAATGGCCCTGGTGAGGTATCAAGTCAAACTCCTTCATTTTACAGATAGGAGCCTTTGACTCAGAAGTTACATGCTGGGTAGTGGCAAAGCTGGAACCAGAACCCAATGCTCCTGGCTTCCTCTCCTCACAGAGCCATTTGCAAATGACTTCCACATAAAACGTAACTTGAAAAGCATTTTAGAGCTTCTGTGTGGCTCACACCTTTTATCCTAGCACTTTGAGAGGCTGTAGTGGGAGATCATTTGAGGTCAGGAGTTCAAGACCATCCTGGCCAACATGGCGAAACGCTGTCTGTAATAAAAATACAAAAATTAGCCAGGGGTGGCAGCAGATGTCTGTATTCCCAGCTACTCGAGAGGCTGAGGCATGAGAATTGCTTGAACCTGGGAGGCAGAGGTTGCAATGAGCCAAGATTGCACCACTACATTCCATCCGGGGTGCCAGAGCAAGACTCCATCTCAAAAAAAACAAACATATATTAGAATGTTGAATTATAATAGGTGTGATACCAACTGGTTAAAACCAAATGTATTACCTATTTTCTAACCTAAGATTATAAAATGTTGACACTTTCAGTTTTATACACATATGCATATATATCCCAAACACAGGTATATATACCTATACACACATATACACACACATATGTATCTGCATATATACACCTATATACACACACAAACATATATACACCTTTACAACATATTTACCTATTCATATACATGTATACAAATACATATTTAAACGCACGTACACGTTTATATGTACACACACACCTGTATATATATATGCACCTATATGTATACACACACATATGTATTACATACACACACGTATGGTAGAATAATAAAAAAATGAAGCTCTGGAGTCAGGCAAACCTAGAATTCTACTGGTACTGACTATGTTTCCTTATTATATAAACTTCTAAAATCTGAGTTTCACCATTTGTAAACTGGGAAAAAATAGGTAACATGTTAAGTGATTAGCATGTTGTCTGCTGTCTAATAAGCTTTCAGGAACTATGAGTAGCCGCCATTGTGAACAAAATCTACAAAATGTTGACCAGTGATTCAGCTTGAAAAGAGATAGATATGATTCATCGTCTTTGCCTCCAAACTGATAGGAATCATCATGGGTAGGCTGGGAGGACCACGCCTGGGATGCCTGGCGGCCCTCTGGTTTGGGAACTGGGCTTAAGCCAAGGAAAGTGGCATCGTCTTGTTAATTTGGAAAGTACAGACACTTTTAAACAGAGCGCGTCAGTCTCATTCCTAATAGGTTGTGAAAGGAGACACAGATCTCAGGAGGCTGGAAGGTGGGGATCCAGGCCGCCTGTTGTTGCAGGTGGAAAGTGAGCAGAAGCACCTGTGTTGCACGCTCCACATAAATGAAGTCACCTACACAGGTCATGTGTTCTGGGGGAGCAGTGGCCCTCCGGATTGACTGGGAGACAGCTAATAGATGAGAATCTTTGGCCATAGTCAGTGTGTTATGCTCCAATGCTGAGGCTGAGGCTAGGGAATGCGGAGGAGAAAGGAGCCAGACCAACTAGAATCTGGAAAGGTCAACTGGCTGACAGCTGTCTGTCTGGGGAGACATCCAGGGAGCAAGGCAAGAAGCTCGGGATGAGTCAGAATGGACACGAACCGCCTAGGTGCAGGGCGTCCCAGAGGCTGCACCAGGGCACGTGGACATCAGCCTCCCCAGACAACACAGCCGCAGGGTTGGGGTCAAGGCCAAGAACAAGATTAGCCAGAAATGTATCCAGGATATGGCTTGAAAACTGGAGGGAGCGAAGAGAGTAAGTCACAGGCTGGGCCAGGGCAGGGACAGATTGGAAGTGTGGGGAAGGTGAGTTGCTTCTGCGTCATCTGTCCTGTTTGTGCCCCAGGCCTGAGAGTTGACGCATACAGCTTCTGACAGAAGAAAAGATAGAAGAGTGGACAGAAAAAGGAAAGAAGCGTTTGCTTTTTCAGAGTGGAAACCTGAATTGGCCAGCACAGAGCATCTACAGGGGTTTCTATGAGGGAGAGACCAGGGTACGAGGGGCTTTCTTTTTCGTCTCTGCGTTCCCTGGGGACCCTTCCATGTCACTTTTCCTCAGGGTTCTGTCGTAAACCCACTTTTCTTCCCACCTGTATCAGTCAGAGTGGGCTTGGGTTTGCTGCAGTAACAAATGATCCCCTAATCTCAGTGGCTTATAATAGTAAACATTTATTTTTGGCTTTAGCTACATGTTCACTGTGAGTTGGTTACAGCTTGCTTTCTCATAATCCTCATTCTGTGACCCCGGCTGACTGAGTGGCCTCTGTCTCTGGAACACTGCTGCTTGAAATAGCAGAGGGAGAAGAGACCATGGAGAACCTTGACTTGGCCTTGGAGCTTCTGCACAGAAGGGAAGTGACACATGTCATTTCAACTCACATTTCATTGACCAAAAGAAGTCTTATGATGAAGCTTGGCATTAACAGGATGGCAAAATCTAATCCTTCCCCAGAAATGAGCAATGACTATTTGTAACAGTAATACAGTCCACCACATGATTGCGCTTACCCAGGGTCATCTTGCCACTCCCACAACCCCAGTGACTGTCGCTTTGATCCTGGATTCCTTCCTCCAGCTCAGATCTCTACACCAAAAGCCAAACCCACAAATCCAGCTGTAAATCAGGCAGTTCTCCTTCAAACTGAATATACCCAACTGAAGTCATTTTCTCTTCAGCATTTTGTTTATTTCTGATTAAAAAAAGACAGTAGCCACTGTCTACCTGGTTAGTGACACCTGGGAGTCACTTTTTGCTCTCCTTCATCACCCCAGATCCCACTATCCATCAGAAAGTCTTCTTGATTGTATTCAATAAATGTTTCTGCTTCTTTTCATTTCTCCTACCCACGCTCATCCAAGATACAGTACTTCTCAATTGGACTACTTTGGCAGGCTGTTCAGTAACTTCCATGCCTCCCTCTTTTCCCTCTCCAATTCACTCCGCCAGCATCCAGAGCGATCTTTCTAATTTACAGATCTGACAGTCCACCTTTCTGCTGTCTCCTCTGTTTAAGCTCTTGCATGGATTCCGACTGGTCTGAGAATCAAGCTGTGGAAAGCTAGCAAGATTCTCCATTTCCCCTGCAGCCTTACCTTCACCATTATCCTACCCTCCCAGTGTCTTCCATCTCCCAGTCCTGGCATCCTGAACCCCTGCCATCTGCTCTAACGGGCCATGTTCTGTCTTCTAGAATATGATGGTGCTATTCCTTCTCACCAGAGTCTTCTTTATCCTCTTCAGTTGGCTAACTTTAACTCACCCCTCAGTTCTCAGCTTACACATTGTTTCCCCCAGGAGGCCTTCTCTGGCCCTTCCTAAACTGTGTAAGTTGTTCCTGTCACATGCTCCCATGCACTAAACATGCTGTCCTTCTTTTACTCTAGCACAGATCAGCTCTTAGACCTGCAGCGGTCCTCCCTTACACATGGGAGATATTTTACAAGACCCCAATGGATGCCTCAAACTGAGGACAGTACCAAACCGCATACTATATGTAGTACGTTTTTTGCTATACATACATACCAGTGATCAAGTCTAATTTATAAATTTGGCACAGTAAGACATTAAGAACAACAATAATAAAATAGGTGGGGCACACAGTGGCTCACACCTGTAATCTCAGTGCTCTAGGAGGCTGAGGTGGGCGGATCATGAGGTCAGGAGTTCAAAACCAGCCTGGCCAATATGGTGAAATCCCCTCTCTAATAAAAATACAAAGTTAGCCAGGCATGGTGGTGGATGCCTGTAGTCCCAGCTACTTGGGAGGCTGAGGCAGGAGAATTGCTTGAACCTGGGAGGTGGAGGTTGCAGTGAGCCGAGATTGCGTGACTGTACTCTAGTCTGGGGGACAGAGCGAGACTTCATCTAAATAATAATAATAATAAAAGAATAATTATAACAATACATTGTAATAAATGATGTGAATGCAGTGTCTCTCTCTCAAAATCTCTTACTGTACAGTACTGCAGGTCACTAAAGCCTGAAGGCGAAACCATGGATAAGGGCGGTTACCGCAGCATAAATGTCTGCTGTCTTTGTTGCTGCACTGGAATCTGCTTGAGAGCAGTGACTAGGTCAACACTGTATCTCCAACTCCTAGCAGAGCATGTGGAATAGTCTAGAGGCTATTGGATGGAATGATGATGAATGACCATTCATAGAGTTGAAAAGTCAAGTTTGACATGTCCTCAAAAGCAAGGTCAGAAAGACACAGAAAAGTCCTTGCTTCCTTTATATCAGGGGAGCTGAGAAAGAGTAGCTTGGATTAGGGCTGGAGGATGCTATAAATCGGAAAGAAAAACAGACTTCTGGAGAACGATAAAGGAAGGGCAGGGTCTGGGAAGAGGCGAGATACACTAGAATAGAACCTTCTGGGGCTGGGCGCAGTGGCTCACGCCTGTAATCCCAGCACTTTGGGAGGCTGAGGTGGGTGGATCACCTCGATTTCGGTCTAGAGATCGAGACCATCCTGGCCAACATGGTGAAACCCCGTCTCTATTTAAAAAAAATACAAAATAATTAGCTGGGCATGGTGGCACGTGCCTGTAATCCCAGCTACTCAGGAGGCTGAGGCAGGAGAATTGCCTAAACCCAGGAGGCAGATGTTGCGGTGAGCCGAGATCGCACCATTGCCCTCCAGCCTGGGTAACAAGAGTGAAACTCTCTCAAAAAAAAGAACCTTCTGGTGGGGGCGGGATTTTTATCTGTTTTGTTCACTGCAGAATCCTTGGGCCTAAAACAGTTCTCGACACATAGTAAGCAGCTAATAATTTACTGAATGAACTCATGAGCAAGTGAATGAATGAATGAACAAACTGTAGGTCATGGTTCTTTGTTTCCAAGGACCAACTCTGGCAGAAAGAGAATTTATTGGAAATAGGGTAATTCACAGAATCGAAAAGCCAGAGAATCAAGCCTGGAAAATGAACAGCCATCAAGGGAAGTCACGCAGATAGAACCACAGCCAAGGTTGCATCACAGGAATACCCTGCTAAGGGCATCACCCTGGCACTGCTGCTGCCAGGCACTACTGTTCCTGGCATTGCCACCACTGCCCTCTTTGTGAGAGTCAGCTCTCATTGACCCTGTGACTTGACGTTATTCCTTCGAGATTTAGTGTCCCAGACCGGAATCCCTGATCATCTGAACCAGGGTGGATTGCTTGTTCATTACTTGCCGGAATACGGGAGAAAGTATTTATCCCCTGTCAGCAGAGGGGGCCATGCTGCCATTCTGTGTTAGGATTTCTCCCTAATAAGACAGTCGTTCAATGCTGGGTGGTCTAAAACACCCTCTAAGTGTAATGAATTCTTACTATAGAAACTCAATCAATTCAGAAGGGCACAAAATATAAAATGCAAATCCACTCTCTACTTCCCAATCCCTATTCCACCCCAAGAAATAACCACTGTTACTGGTTGGTAATGTGTTTTTACACACTTCTTCAAGAAACTTCATGAAGTTTATATGTCAATTATAAGCATCCCATAATAGCTAGGAAATCCAGCCCTGTGCAGTTTATGAAACAATAAGAATTGTTTCATCAAGAAATAATAATTACATAAAAACAAACAATTTTCATTGTTTCAAAAACTGAACTGAGCTGAACTTCCTAGCTACTGTAGAGTGCTTGTAAATTACATGTAAAACTTGTAGTCTGAAGGTTTTTGCTTGGGAATAAAGTGGTTGCTTGGGGTCTGAAGCCCTGGCTGTGTGTGGTGTTGCTGGCAGTTCCTAACTCTCAGGAGGGGACCACTTGCCCAGTAAACGGTAGGCACTGTCTCTTGGTGCTGTTTGCTGTGTTGTGTTAAATATTACTGGGTATTTCTTGCTTGAGATTGATCAGGGCTGTAATGACATCTATCACTATGATGGGTTAGCAAAATGTGGGTTCTATTGGAGGGAAGATACTCACTCTGCCTTTGCCTAATTGATTTAAATTGCCGAAGGGACAGCCTCCTGTTTAGGATGTCTCTTATAGAGAGTTCTGCTCTTCTTAAAAAAAAAAAAATTACTAGGTACAGTTGTGTATGCCTGTAGTCCCAGCTACCTGGGAGGTTTAGATGGGAGGGTCGCTTGAGATCAGGAGGTCAAATCCAGCTGGGGCAGCATAGTGAGACCCCCCATCTCTAAAAATAAATGTATAGGGCTGGGCATGGTGGCTCATGACAGTAATCCCAGCACTTTGGGAAGCCAAGGTGGGCAGATCACGAGGTTGGGAGTTTAAGATCAGCCTGGCCAATATGGTGAAACCCCATCTCTACTAAAAATTAGCCATATGCGGTGGCAGGCACTTGTAGTTCCAGCTATTCAGGAGGCTGAGGCAGAAGAATCACTTGAACCTGGGAAGCAAAGGTTGCAGTGAGCCAAGATCACACCACTGTACTCCAGCCTAGGTGACAGAGCAAGGCTCCATCTCAAAAAAAGAAAAAAGTTATATGTACATACATATAAAAGAAGAAAACAAAAATTATCTGAAATAATATTTTTCTGGGATTTTAAAGAAATAAAGTTCCAGAACTAACCCATCCTCAACTGATTGCCAGAGAAGCTAGTTCTGGGTATGTAGTAGTTAATGTTCTTCATCATGTTGGTAGATGTGTGATTTTGAGTCCCCAGGAAACAGTGCCCAGGTGCCCCACAGTGGTTGGACAGTGCAAATGTAAGACACTTTGATAGGAGACAGTTTTGCACAAAGAACAGAGAATGGTTGCTCATATAAGTGATCTGAATTTTAAGAAAGTAGAACTGATGGTTATAAATCTTATCATAGTCCAGCCCTGGACTGGACCTTTTGTAAGAAATACACAACAAAGCATATGGTACAGCTATAAACAGAATAATGCATTATATGAAGTTGCATAAATACAGTTCAGGTTGTTACAGGGCTGACCCAAATCATCATGATAGGTCCAAGTATAAGGTCTCAGGCTGGTATCCAATGTGACCTCTCAAGAGCCTAGAAGTAGGCTGGGCATGGTGGCTCACACCTGTAATCCCAGCACTTTGGGAAGCCGAGACAGGCAGATCACCTGAGGTCAGGAGTTTGAGACCAGCATGGCCAACATGTCGAAACTCCATCTCCACTGAAAATACAAAAATAAGCTGAGCGTGGTGGTGCATACCTGTAGTCTCAGCTACTTGGGAGGCTGAGGCAGGGAGAATCGCTTGAACCCGTGAGGCAAAGGTTGCAGTGAGCCAAGATCATGCCATTGCACTTCAGCCTGGGTAACAGAGTGAGACTCCACCTCTGAAAAAACAAAAAACAAAAAAAGCCTAGAAGCAAAAGCCAGCACTTCAGTCCAGCCTGCTTTGCCCAGGTTTGTCAAGGAAAAAATGTTACTTGGATGATGCTCTATGCTTCTTCTTTGCCAAACAACTGTCTGCAGTATTTCTACACAGAAGTCAGCAGAACAGATATGATTATGACATAACATCCAGGATTCCCATACAAAGCCTTTCTACTGGAAATTGATGCAATATTAGTACCTAAACTGGTAGCAGTTCTGTTTTACATTCGTGAAATGGGATAAATTTTAAGTCTTTTTGATAGAATCTAGTGAACAAATATGGGTTGATAATTTTAAAATGTGAGTTAATTCTGGTTTAAAGTTGCAGCCAAAATAGAAGTTAGCTGTGATTCATTTGAAATTATGGGAACATTCTGAGTGCTGATAACAGAAGAGGGCAATGAGTATGACAGAAGCCATAATATTTTGTTGATACAAAGAAACATTGGCTCTTTGATAGAAGTTTCCAGGAGCAGCGGCAACAGTTAAAAATTGGTGAAAGCTTGGGAGGCCAAGGCAGGTGGATCACAAGTTCAGGAGATCGAGACCTTCCCTGCCAACATTGCGAAACCCCATCTCTACTAAATACAAAAAATTAGGCTGGCATGGTGGTGGGCGCCTGTAGTCACAGCTATGCAGGAGGCTGAGACAGGAGAATTGCTTGAACCTGGGAGGCAGGGGTTGCAGTAAGCTGAGATTGCACCACTGCACCTAGCCTAGGCTACAAGAGTGAAACTCCATCTCAAAAAAAAAAAAAGAAAAGAAAAGAAAAAGGAAAAGAAAAGCCAAAGGAAAAAAAAGAATAAACAAAAAAAATTGGTGAAAGCAATGAACTTTCATATTAAATTTAATTTTCTCTTGCCTTGGTCTTGACTATCATACACATAAACCTCAGGAGACTAGAAACGTTAGAAAAACCATTATTCTATAAGAAAATTACAACTAGCTAGGAGGAATGAGTTCTGGTGTTTGCAGCACTGTGGGGTAAATATGGTTAAGTATAATTTATTGTAGATTTTCAGAAAGCTGGAAAGAGGACTTTGCATGCTGCCAACACAAAGAAACAATAAACGTTTGAGGTGATGGATTTGCCAAGTACCTTGATTTGGTCATTATACATCATATACATGTATGGAAATATCACTCTGTCTCCCAGAAATATGTGCAATTATTAAACGTCAACTAACACTAACAGGGAAGAAACAGTATCGTATGAATCTATTAAAATAATGCCCTTGTGGCCGGGCACAGTGGCTCACTCCTGTAATCCCAACACTTTGGGAGGCCAAGGTGGGTGGATTGCCTGAGCTCAGGAGTTCAAGACCAGCATGGCCAACATAGTGAAACCCTATCTCTACTAAAAATACAAAAAATTAGCTGAGTGTGGTGGCGGGTACCTGTAATCCCAGCTACTAGGGAGGCTGAGGCAGGAGAATCGCTTGAACCAGGGAGGCAGAGGTTGCAGTGAGCTGAGATGGTGCTATTGCACTCCAGTCTGGGCAATAAGAGCGAAACTCTGTCTTAATAAAAATAATAATGCCCTTATTTTGTCTGAGCAGGAAGTGAATAATTTTGTCACGTTCTAGAGAAGCTAGATCATGACCTGGGCATTGAATGGTCAGGAGTGGCCCAGGGAAAAGAACCAGGGCATGACCTGCAGGAAGAGAAAGCCAGGTTGTGAAGCCACAGGGAGGAGAAATGGGAGCTGCGGTGGCAGCAGCAGGGACTGGGGCTGTCTGGCGAAGGCGTGAGAAAGTGGGAGTTATGGCAGTGTCAATGCTAGCTGTCCTGTCTGCCCACGTGCCATGAGACATAACTTCTCCTGGGCTATGCCAAATTTCAGTACTGCCTCAGGACTCCTTTCCTTGATATTTATCCAAGAGACAGGAAAATGCGTGTTCACATCGTCTTGTACACTAAGGCTCCTAGCTGCTTTTTATGTAATAGCCAAAAATGGAAAACAATCTAGAAGCTGAAAACAGCCTACATGTCTGGCAACAGGTGGTAGATGGCCTGCGACTCAACAATAAAAAGGGATGGATGGTTGTTGAACAGAGCAGCAGGGAAGCTGTCCAAGCCATTATGCTGAGCAAAACAAAGCTCCTCCCCTACCCACACTCCCAAAGCAAAGAGCATGTGCTATATAATTCCATTTATTTATTTATGTATTTATCTATTTGAGACGGATTCTTGCTCTGTTGCCCAGGCTGGAGTGTAGCATCATTGCCTCTCACTGCAACCTCTGCTTCCCGGGTTCAAGCAATTCTCCTGCCTCAGCCTCCCAAATAGCTGGGACTACAGGTGTGTGCTACCATGCCAGGCTAACCTCTGTAGTTTTAGTAAAAATGGGGTGTCACCATGTTGGCCAGGCTGGTCTCAAACTCCTGACCTCAAGTGAACCACGCACCTCGGCCTCCCAAAGTTCTGGGATTACAGGTATGAGCCACTGCACCTGGCCTATTTATGTTTTATTTTTTAGAGACAGGGTCTCTCACTCTGTCACCCAGGCTGGAGTAAAGTCATGTGATCACAGCTCATTTTGTCCTTGACCTCCGAGGCTCAAGCAATCCTCCTGCCCAACCTCCCCAGTAGCTAGGACTACAGGTGAGCACCACCACACTTGGCTAATTTAAAAACAATGTGTTTGTAGAAGCAGGGTCTCACTATGCTGCCCAGGCCATGCTACATAATTCTGTTTCTATAAAACTAAAGAAGACGCAAACTAATGTTTAGTGGAGACAACAGATCAGTGGTTGTTTGGGGACAAAGTAGAGGGAAGGATGGATTACAAGCTGGCACAAGAATTTTGGGGGTGACGGGAAATGGGTAAATTGTTTTGGTTTCATGGACAGGTTTGTATGTCAAAACACAGTGGACGCTTTATGTACAGTTCATTGTAGAAAAAAAATTTAAACAAAGATACCCCCACCCAAATAAAAGAACAGGACCTGCTAGACAGTAAGTTCTTAATAAATGTCAGTTAGTAAGTTCTTAATAAATGTCAGTTAACAACAATAATAATGGTAAGCACTATGATTATGTCTAGTTTACAGAGTGGAAACTGAAGCCCAAAGAGGTCAAGTAACTTGCCCAAGGTCACACAGTCAGCTGGTGGTGTGTCCAGGACGCAGTCTAACTCTAAGACCTGAACTCCGTGGGAGGAAAAAGAGTGTGAAGGCAGGGCTAGGAGAATGAGCAGGTCCAGAAAGAAGGTTCTAAGAGGCACCATATCAGAGGAGCAGCAAGGGGGACTGGAGGCCAGTGGGGATGGGAGGAAGAGCTTCCACTGAGAGCATTCCATGGGTATTTTGTATCAAGTACAGAAACTTGCCTTTTCTCACTCAGTCATTAATTCACATACCATAAAATTCAGCTATTTGCCGAGCACAGTGGCTTACACCTGTAAATTTCAGTACTTTGGGAGGCCAAGGTTGGTGGATCACTGGAGGCCAGGAGTTTGAGACCAGCCTGGCCAACATGGTGAAACCTTGTCTCTATAAAAAATACAAAAATTAGCTGAGCGTGATGGCACATCCCTGTAATCCCAGCTACTCCACAGGCTGAGGCAGGAGAATTACTTGAACCCGGGAGGTGGGGGTTGCAGTGAGCCAGTATTGCATCACTGCACTCCAGCCTGGACAACACAGCAAGACTCTGTCCACCCTCCCCAAAAATTACCTATTTGAAGTACGCAATTCAGTGGGTTTTAGTACATTCCCAGGGTTGTGCAACCATCACAATTTAATTTCACAGTGTTTTTGGAACTCCCCCAAAAACCTGTACCAATCAGCTGTCACTCCCCATCTTCCTCTTTCTCCCTTCCTTCTTCAGCCTTAGTTAGCCACAGATCTAGTTTTCATCACCATAGACTTGCATATTCTGAACATTTCATATGACTAGAATCATATGATATGTGGTCTTTTCTGCCTGACATCTTTCACTTAGTATAATGTTTTCAAGGTGCATTGTATTATCAGTACCTTATTTCTTTTACGGATGGAGAATAATCTATTGTATGGATATACCACATTTTGTTTATCCAATCATCAGTTCATGGCCATGGGTTGCTCTCATTTTTTGGTCATTTTGAACAATTCTGCTATTCTCAATCTGTTTTGTTTCAACAACTGATGGTTATTTTAACTGGTAAAGAGAGAGGCAGATATCAATCACAGGCACAGATGCCATCTGAGCATATGGCTCTTTATTTGCAGACCATCTGGTTTATTTTGTATTTAATACAATATGTGGGGACTCTTTTAAAATAGTTTTCTGTGCAGTAAAGAACTTAGACTTAGGCTACAGTTATCAGTGATAGCGCTTCCTAGTTACTTGTATTTAGGGAAATTGTTTGCGAAGGTATTGGTAACTTTTATTGAGTACTTCCTATTAGGTTGATGTATATTTTCCAGTATAATTCTTACACTACTCTGTGTGTTAAGTATTATGAACCTTAATGTAAATGAGACTTCTGAGGCACATGGACATTAGCACCTACTGTGGTGCCTGCCTCCAGGTTCACCCACAGGTACATACTGGCAGCTTCTTATTTTAACCATCAGTCTCTTTGCTTCTCAGCCTGAGGCTTTCTCAGACTGCCTGAAAAATCCTTTAGCAGTGCTCAGGAACCTAATCACTCCAGGGCAACCCTAAACATGCTCAACTTTCCTTCTTCCTTCCAGATGTTCTACATGACAGGTCAGCAGAGTTTTGCTCTTAGGACCAGAGAGTAAATATTTTCAACTTTGTAGGCCATACCGTCCCTGTCCCTGTAGCGACTATTCAACTCTGCCATTTTAGCATGAAAGTAGCAATAGATGATCCTAAAAGATTGGGCTTGGCTGTGTTCCAATAAAACTTTATTTACAAATAGTGGGTTGGATTTGACCTGCTGGCGGTAGTTTTCTGATGCCTATTCTCCATGATTTCTTAGAAGATTCCCAATGGAGTTGAACCCCAGTTAAACTGAGGTAACCCATTTATTACCACAGCCTTTTTTACTGGCTTTTCTTTATTCCCCGTGTCTTTATTTACACACTTTATTTTTGCTTGCTGGGATCTCCAACCAGACAAACTCCCGGTACCAAATTATGCCTCTCAGTTTCTGTTTTTGGGGGAACCAAATTGACAAACCAGGACAATACGATGTTACAGCAGGCTGAGAATATGCATATGAAGAGATCAGAGGCTGTGGCGTGAGTCTGAGCCACAGCTCTATACCTGAATGACCCTGGGCAAATAACTTCATCTCTTCGTGCCTCATTTTCCCCATCTGTAAAATGGGTATTGTCACAGAACTCACTGCAAAAAGTTTTTAGGAGGATTTTATGTGTGATAAAGCATGCCTGATAATAGACAATTTCTTATTATAAAGCATAGAGACTTGTGAATGGTTCATGAAGTTTTTCATTCATTTATGGAAAGATCCTTTATACCCTCTTTGCAAAATAGAAAAATAGGATTGAGTTAACGGATTTTTCAAAAAATTCTTAAGACTTAATTTTTTTAGAGCAGTTTTAGGTTCACAGCAAAATTGAGAAGAGGCTATACATATATCCCATATCCTGTCCCCCAACACCCAGGCCCTGACATGCACAGCCTCCCCAAAGGCAACATGCCCCACCAGAGTGGTCCATTTGTTACAACTGATGAACCAACATTGACACATTGTTCTCACCCCAAATTCATAGTTTACATTAGGGTTCGTTCTTGGCGAATCCTGTCAGTATTCACCTTAATATGTATTCACTTTTTTTTGAGATGGAGTTTCACTCTTCTTGCCCAGGCTGGAGTGTAGTGGTGCCACCGCAGCTCACTGGCAACCCTGGCGACCCCCACCTCCCGGGTTCAAGCGATTCTCCTGCCTCAGCCTCCCAAGTAGCTTTTTTTTTTCCAGTAGAGACAGGGATTCACCATGTTGGCCAGGCTGGTCTTGAACTCCTGACCTCAGGTGATCCACCCTCCTTGGCCTCCCAAAGTGCTGGGATTACAGACATGAGTCATTGCTCCCTGCCTAGTCACCATTTTTAATTATTTATTGTGAGAAATATAAATAGCTGAACAATACAACATATTTTCCCCAGTTTGGCCTTGATGATTTGAAAATACATTGTCCTTTGTGTTCAAAAAACACAAAGCACAAAGAATTCCTGTCCTTGGGGGCTATTTACTGTATACTGAACTATTTATGAATGAAATATTATATCAGGAATTGTTTTTAAAAATGATCTGTGGCAGGAGAAGTGCGTGTGGATACCGAAACAAGATTGGTCCTGAGTTGACACTGGTTGAAATTGGGTGATGGAAGCTGAGAGTTCATTATAATATACTCTCTACTTTCCTATTTGTTTGAAATTTCTCATAAACGTAAGTGGTTAAAAAACACATGGCCTCAGAAACTATAAACAAAACACTGCTGCTATAAGAACTGCATTATAGGAAGGAAGGAGGGGAATTATCTCCAGCTACGTCCTGGGGACCAACCACCCTAATTCATTAACATATCAGAACGACAGCCTCTTTTTTATTCTTGAGTATGCCCAAGACCTTCTGCAAGATTTCTCTTCTGTGGTCGCAGCAGGGTAAGGAGCCTTGTGACACTCAGCTAGGGAACAGGAGATGGGGCAACACTCAGCCAGGTTAGGAAAGTGGATCCTCAATATTTGAAAAAAGTGGATCCACCGGGAGCAGTGGCTCATGCCTGTAATCTCAGCACTTTGGGAGGCCGAGGCAGGTGGATCATGAGGTCAGTAGTTCAAGACCAGCCTGGCCATGATAGTGAAACCCTGTCTCTACTAAAAGACAAAAATTAGCTGGGCGTGGTGGCATGCACCTGTCATCCCAGCTACTTGGGAGGCCGAGGCAGACAATTGTTTGAACCCAGAGATGGAGGTTGCAGTGAGCCGAGATTGCACCACTGCACTCCAGCCTGGTCACAGAGTGAGACTCTGCCTCAAAGAAAAAAAATTGAAAAGGACATTCAAAACAACATTTGAAAGAAGTCAGAGTGATCAGTAAGAAACTTAGGATCTAGAAAATGGTTATAGTGTTTATCCAGAAGAATGAACGCTGAAGATCTGCAGAGAGGCCAGTGTTTGCCCAGAGGAGAAATCATTCAGATATGATTTTCAGCTATTAGAATATTGACACGGAGCTCAGGTGATAATGGATATGTACTTCTACCATGTCCCTCCCCGAGACTGTACAAATCTATATACAGACACCTATGAGTTCTCAGGCTGTGTATAAACCTTTCGCTGTATTACAATGCTCATCATCACTGTAGGGGACCTTCGCAGGAGCTGGGGGGGAAGGTGAGGAAGAAGGCCCCGCCTGGAAAGCAACAGGGAACCACCAGTGTCAGCAAAGTGAAGCTTGTTGCAAGGCCTGCAGTCATATGAACCCAACAGCTTTTAGTTCATCCCAGTGGCCCTTAGACTATTCATCCTTTGACTTCACATGTGCTTTGAAATTTTGTTGTGATCTTTGCTGAGTCAGTGTGGAAGTCACAGGATAGGTTTTAGATTTTTTACTTTTCAGCCTGTGATTTAAAGTTCTGATGACTTGGGGAAAGGGCTGATCATCTTGTGCTAAATCACTGATGGAATTTAAATTAAAATCTCCATCTCCCAATCAACCCAAATGTCCATCAATGACAGACTGGATAAAGAAAATGTGGTACACATACACCATGGAATACCATGCAGCCATAAAAAGAAACGAGATCATGTCCTTTGCAGGGACATGGGTGGAGCTGGAAGCATCATCCTCAGCAAACTGACTCAGAAACAGGAAACCAAACACTGCATGTTCTCACTTATAAGTGGGAGCTGAATAATGAGAACATGTGGACACAGGGAGGGGAACAACACATGCTGGTGCCTGTGTGGGGGTGGGATGAGGGGAGGGAAAGCATTGAGAAAAACTGCTAATGCATGCTAATATCTAGATGATGGGTTGATAGGTGCAGCAAACCACCGTGGGACACGTTTACCTATGTGACAAACCTGCACATCCTGCACATGTACCCTGGAACTTAAAAATAAAAATTTTCAAAAAGGGAAAAATAAAATGTCTATCTCTTAAGTCCTGGTTTTTTAAAATTATCCCACATGGCCTTGTCATTTGCACAGATTATGTGATGGTTTTGAGTTGATTGGGGCTGCAGAAAAATTGTGCTAATTTACAGTGAAAATTAAATCAAGACATTTGATTGACAATGTGTGATCATCATTGTGCATGGCTAGATGTGCTGGTTGGTGACGTGCTTTTGGACATCCGTTTACTGTCTCAGCTGCAGTAACTGGAACCACATGCATTACCTCCTTTCCTCCCCCACTCTGCCATGCAGACATAGTTTGCATTCAGAGTCAGTACTTTGGTGCCTTTTCTGACAAGTTTCGGTTGAAAGCATGAATGCTAAATTTTGGAATATTAATGAACTAGAACCAAGTAGGAATTTCTTGGACAGATAAGAGAGAAATGGTGTTTTTAATCTGAAGTGATCCTGAGTAATTCTTCTGAGCTCAGTTTTTATTTCATTATTTTATTTCTCATTTATTTTTTTTTTAATTGTACTTTAAGCTCATCCTGCAGGGTTGCTGCATAGGTACACACTTGCTATGGTGGTTTGCAGTCTCCGTCCCTGTCCCCGTGGCCTACATCAGGCATTTCTCCCAGTGTTTTCCCTCCCCGGCCTCCCCGACCAGCTGCTGTCCCTCCCTGACACCCACTGTCCCTCCCCTAGACCCCCACCCACCCCAGTGTGGGATGTTCTCCTCCCAGTGTCCACGTGTTCTCACTGTTCAACACCACCTATGAGTGAGAAAATGCAGTGTTTGGTTTTCTGTTCTTGTGTCAGTTTCCGAGCTCAGTTTTTAACTGACACATCTGAACATCAGACTTTATTAAAAACGTGTTCAAAGTGTCATGTGCAATGAAAGCTTCATCAAGGAGAGGCACCTGAGTGTCATTACTGGTAATAGAATCCTGTTCCTGTAGTTTTTAATTCCCACACTACTGAAATGAAACACAACCGGTTATATAGCATAATATGTAAAATCTACCTGGGAATTCAATCATTTTGCAATTAAGTTTGAGGTCTTTTAAAATCATTTTGTCTATAAAACATGGCACTTTATCTGTTTAATCATGACTCGAATAAGAGACAGGAGAAAACATACCTGGGAAAACACAAATGATTGATGAGTGGAAAGTGACTAAGGTTGATGTGTTGAATGGTGGTAAATTCTACAAAATCTTAGAGCTCCTTCAAGGGAGGGATAAACATAAGCCATGCCTGGGAGACAATTTGTATATTTTGAGTAGTTTGGACGGTTACTGTGGTTAGTTTGGTATGTGAGAAAGGACAGTAGAAAACAAGATGAGCTCAGCTAAAAGTAATAGAGCGCCCAGTTTACAGTGGCTCCTATCTCATTTCTCATTTTGACATCCTTAGCAACATCGCCTTGGAGCCCGTTATTTATGTAGATTCTCAGGCACCACCTCAGCCCTGCAAAATCAGAATTTCCATTGTAAGGAGATTCCCAAGAGATTCACTGGCCCATTAAAGTCTGGTCTAGAAAATAAAGATAGAGATATTTCCATGAATAAGGGTCTGAATGCAATCAGTTTCAAGGTGGCTGCATCTAGACCATCAATAATAGGCTTTTGTTTCATTCCACTTCACAATCCTTAGCACGTGGACTTTGCCTTTAGTTGCGCGGCCTCGGGATTCCAAAGTGGCTGCTGTGTCTCCTCGGACCAGTGAGTTCCAGGCAGGAAGGGAGGGGCAGACGTCTTCTAATATCTCATCGGCCAGACCTGGGTCACATGTTTTTGTGTTTTTTTTTTAACCTTTCTTATGGTACTGAAGGTGTTGACTTTTAGACGACTCACTTGGGATGATAAAAGGATTAGCATTACTAATTTAAACCCTTCATTTATTCATTAAAAAAAAATTGCCTACTATGTGCCAACTCATGAGCATTCCATGGAGCTAAAGCTGAGATCACGGGTCTCTTGTCTATTGCCTGAACAAAATTAGGGTTATTTTAGTCAAGAGGAAATGAGGGAATCCTTATTAGGTGGAATCAATATTAGCCACAGGTAGGTTGAGGCCAGATTTGGAAGGGTCTTCAAACTCATGCCAAGAATGGACTGAGACCAGTGAGGAGACCTTTAAGGTGATTCAAGTAAGAGATGATGAGGACCAGCTCAGGACAATTGTGGCTGCTTTGGAGGAAGGGATGCGTCGAAAGTCTGCTCTGAGGTGAAAGTCCCTCCTTAGTGATAATATATGTGGGCAATGAAGAGGAGGGATGACTCATTGAAACTCTGATGGGATCCTTCACTCAGCTGTCTAAGACCACTTGACTTAAGAAAAAAAAATCTATGTATCGTTATGACTCTTAGCAGTGGATTTATTTGTTTTTATTTATTTATTTTTTTTTTTGAGACAGAGTCTCACTCTGTCGTCCAGGCTGGAGTGCAGTGGTGTGATCTTGGCTCACTTAGCAGTAGATTTTTTAAAACTCCATGTGTTTAACACATAAACAATCGGGTGAAACCACGCTCTGTAATCTAGGTTTTCCACCTAATGTGTCATGAACCAATTTGTCAGTTCATGTAGAACTGTCTCATCTTTCTTTAACTCAGTTTTTATTTGAAAAATGTTGCAAAACATAAGCAAGTTAAAAACCATGTACAGTATGATAAATTTAACAAACTATAAAAAGTAAAAAAAGAAATCATCCCTTCCTTTTATTTCTGGAACATGTGTCTCCCCCAGTTTTCCCAAAGGTAACACAGACTTAGTAAGAGATTCCCATGAACTACACATACATACCTCTCTATGTGTAAACAGTTGTCCCTCAGTGTGCATGGGGACAAGGGGGTTGGTTCTATGACCCTGTGGATACCAAAATCCATGGATGCTCAAGCCCCTGATAGAAAGTGACATAGTGTTTGCCTATAACCTGTGCACACTCTCTCATATACTTTAAATCATCTCTAGATTACTTATGCTACTCAATACAGGGTAAATGCTGCATACATAGTGTTATATTGTTTTGTTTAGGGAATAGTGACAAGAAAAGATGTCTGTGTGTGTTCAGTACAGACACAACCGTCCTTTATTTTTTTCCAAATATTTACAATCCATGGTTGGTTGAATCCACAAATGCAGAACCCATGGATAAAGAGGGTCAACTGTGTATAAATGACAATGTGTTACAATGCACAGTTTCCACTGTTGCTCTTTTTTACAAAACCTCTGCCCTTATTCGTGATGAGCACCTGTGGTCCAAGAATCAGCATTGTTTAAGAGAGCTTTACCTCAAAGTGTACGCTTTTCATTTTTATATTTGCATATAGATTATAATACATATCATCTGGGCTTGTTGTGATATCTCATGCCCGCAATCCCAGCACTTTGGGAGTCTAAGGTGGAAGGATCACTTGCATCCAGGAGTTTGAAACCAGCCTGGGCAACATAGTGAGATCTTGTCTCTATTTAAAAAAGAAAAATAAATAAATAAATACCTTCCCCCCCAAAATACATATAATCTGCTTTAAATAAACTTTTTTTTTTGAAACGATGTCTCTCTGTCACTCAGGCCTGAGTACAGTGGCACAATCTAGGCTTACTGCAACCTCTGCCTCCCAGGTTCAAGCCATGCTCCCACCTCAGCCTCCTGAGTAGCTGGAATGATAACCAGCTAAGTTTTGTTTCTTGTAGAGATGGGGGTCTCTACAAGAGACCCCAGGCCTATGTTGCCCAGGCTGGTCTCTAACTCTGGGACTCAAGCAATCACCTGCCTCAGCCTCCCAAAGTGTTGAGACTATAGGCATGAACCACTGCGCCAGTCTTAATGAACTTCTAATACACTATGCCATTTAAAAATTTCATTCATCGTCTGACTCTTTCTTCACTAGGATATAAGTTTCCTGAGGGCAGGGGGTTTTGTTTTGCTCACAGATGTATCACCACAGACTAGGTAGTACCTGGCCCCAAGTGGGTGCTCAATATATATTGAATATGAAATGAATAAACTTCTAGCAGATTATCCTCATTGTGCTTAAAATGACCAAATGGCTTTTCCCTGTACTTCCATTCTGTCTTTTCCCCTTGATCTCATGTGGTGTGCTCAGGGAGGCCAACTAATGTTAGTATTAACTTAAGAAAAGAGGAGTGTAACCGGGCACAGTGGCTGACACCTGTAATCCCAGCACTTTGGGAGGCCAAGGTGGGCAGATCACTTGAGGTCAGGAGTTCGAGACCAGCCTGGCCAATGTAGTGAAACCCTAACTCTTCTAAAAATTAGCTGGGCATGGTGCAGCATGCCTGTAGTCTCAGCTACTTGGGAGCCTGAGGCATGAGAATCACTTGAACCCGGGAGGTAGAGGATGCAGTGAGCAGAGATTGCACCAATGCACTCCAGCCTGGGAGACAGAGCAAGACTCCATCACACACACACACACACACACACACACACACACAAAGTGAAGTGTAGAAACAAATTTCCCCAAAGAAGCCACTGATGTATGCCATGGTGAAACTTAAAGGATTACTCTTATCTGGCCTTGGGGATTATCTGCACCATGGCCTCCATCCCCTTACACGAAGGATCAAGCTAACCACATAAACATTTAGACTCCCTGCATGATCTGGGAGAACATAAGCCGCTGATGAGTTTGTATAATACCCACAGCCACAGTTACACAATGTGGCAGGCATAGCCCTTCCGTTCCGAAAGAAGGAAAGAGAAAAATATATGATACATGATACTCTGTATGTTTTCATTCTTCACAATCATTAAAGATATAAATAACACTACTTTTTTAGAGAAAAGGAATTTATCTGTTGACAGGAATATATATTGCTGGGCATGGTGGCTCATGCCTGTAATCTTAAGACTTTGGGAAGCCAAGGCAGGAGGATCTCTTGAGGCCAGGAGTTCAAGACCAGTGTGAGCAACACAGCAAGACCCCTCTCTACAAAATATGAAAAGATTAGCTGGACATGGGGGTGCGTGTCTTTAGTTCTAGGTACTCAGGAGGTTGAGGTGGGAGGATTGCCTGAGCCCAGGAGTTCGAGGCTTCAGTGAACTATGATCACACCACTGCACTCCAGCCTTGGCAAAGGAGCAAGGTCCTATCTCTTAAAAAAATAATAAATAAAATAATAATAATAATAAATAATAGAGAAAGGGAAGAGAGTTGAGATTCCAGAACAGTCTTTCTGACTCCAAACTCCAATTTATTTTTATTCTACACCACTTTTTCATAAAAGTACAGAACAAATTGTTTGATGTTTTTCTTATTGTTCATTATTACTTTTTAAAAGGTCAATTCTGACATTTGATTTACATTTCCTGACAAACTACATATCATTTTCCTCCCTCCCTTCCGTCTTTCCTTCCTTTTATTCTTCCATTTATAATGCAACAGATGATAGTTTGTCATGGTGTCCTGTAGGTCGTGTATTTTACTTTACAATGCCAGATAAAATTATCAGCAGCCACTTGTGGAAAGCTTCTCCGGAAAATATTGCTTCAACCATACTTATTTGTTTCTTAAAATGCTATTTTTGCTGATCTCCGCTTAAACAACAGAAACACAGATGGCTACAGTTACTGGATTTGCTGTCAGTTTTTATGCCCCTTTTCTCATACACACTTTTGGCGATCAAGTTTACTTTCAAAAACATATGCTAAGAATAGTAACAAATTTTTCAGACTTGAAGTTGTCTAGGAAAAAAGTATGCTCCACTTTAAGAAAGAGTCTACAAATTCAACAAAGCAGATTCATCTCCTAGAAACCCGTTCTCCGAGCAGGCCGTTTTCATCTCTACCCAATAAACACCAGATTCCTCAGCTTGGCAGTCAAGAACCTTGACCATATCTAGTCTCAGATGATTCTTTGTACTTTTTCTCCTGATTCCAAGCTACTGTACTCTATTTTCCAGCAAAATGGGTCTGTTTATTTCCCCCATGTCCACGCTTACCTGTTTTGCTCATTGCTGTTTCTTTTGCCTGGGGAGATTTCCTTTTCTCTAAGCATTCCATTTCTCCCAGCTCAAAGGCCACCTCCTCCAGAAAGCGTTCCTGGGTTATATTTGCTTTCACACTACTAGACATAATTGGTCTTTATTTGTCCCTTCTTTAGGACACATATGCTACATCTTTTGCTTTAATTACGTCTGCCCCAATTTAGAGAACCATTAGAAGCTATTAATAAAACAATGAATGTGCCAGAACAGTTGAAAGAAGGTATTTAACAGTAATTCCTGCTAATGGTATAATGAGACATGATTGCAGACAGTGGCCTGCAAACATTTTTTAAAATTCGCCTACCAGCTGGGCGTAGTAACTCATACCCGTAATCCCAACTCTTTGGTAGGCCAAGGCAGGCAGATCACAAAGTCAGGAGTTCGAGACCAGCCTGGCCAACATAGTGAAACTCCGTCTCTGATAAAAATACAGAATAATTATTCAGGAGTGGTGGCCGGTGCCTGCAATCCTGCTGAGGCAGGAGAATCACTTGAACCCAGGAGGCGGAGGTTGCAGTGAGCCGAGATTGTGCCATTGCACTCCAACCAGGCAACCGTGCAAGACTGTCTTAAAAATAAAAAATAAAAAAAAGTTGCCTACCATAGTGTTTGAAAGAAAAACAATTCAATTGGAATGCTTGTATATTGGCACACACATTCTACCCCACCAGTTTCCCTGGTCCCCATTGCCCTTATACTGGCACTTCACATATTTACATTCCTTGACTGACCCTGGGTGGCACTTGAGTTTACAAGCTCCATGTAGAGGTTACATTAATCGTTTGATACACTAGGTCCAAATCATGGCTCTGTGTTACTTTCTAGCTAGCTGTCTCAAGTTAAGAGCAAGACTGTTGGCCGGGCGCGGTGGCTCAAGCCCGTAATCCCAGCACTTTGCGAGGCCGAGGCGGGTGGATCACGAGGTCGGCAGATCGAGACCATCCTGGTCAACATGGTGAAACCCCGTCTCTACTAAAAATACAAAAAATTAGCTGGGAATGGTGGTGCGTGCCTGTAATCCCGGCTACTCACGAGGCTGAGGCAGGAGAATTGCCTGAACCCAGGAGGCGGAGGTTGCGGTGAGCCGAGATCGCGCCATTGCACTCCAGCGTGGGTAACAAAAGCGAAACTCCATCTCAAAAAATAAAAATAAATAAATAAAGAGCAAGACTTCTAATGATATCTGTGAATGGTGCTTTGTATTAGAGGTGGCCTTATGCAAATAAACAGGTGCAGTTGACCCTTGAAACATGTGAAGTTTAGGAGTGGCAATCACCTGCACAGTCAAAAATCCACCTATAAATTGGGTGCAGTGGTTCCCTCCTGTAATTCCAGCACTTTGGGAGGCTGAGGTAGGTGGATCCACCTGAGGTTAGGAATTCAAGACCAGCCTGGCCAACATGGTGAAATCCCGTCTCTACTACAAATAAAAAAATTAGCCAGGTGTGGTGGTGGGAGCCTGTAATCCCAGCTTCTTGGGAGGCTAAGGCAGGAGAATGGCTTGAATTCAGGAGGCAGAGGTTTCAGTGAGCCAAGATCGCACCACTGCCCTCTAGTCTGGGCAACAAGAGAGTAAAACTACGTCTAAAAAAGAAAGAAAGAAAGAAAAGAAAAGAAAGAAAGAAAAGAAAATCCACCTGTAACCTCTGACTCCCAAAAAACTTAATAGTCTTCTGTTGACCTTACCAATAACACGGTTGACTAACATATATTTTGTATGTTATATGTATTATATTCTGCATTCTCACAGAAGAAAAGAAAACATTAAGAAAAATTATTAAAAAGAGAACATTATTTATTAAGTAGAAATAGATCTTCATAAGGGTCTTCACCCTCATTGTCTGCCCATTAAGTATTCTGAGGAGGAGGAAGAGAAGGAGTTGCTCTTGCAGTCTCAGAGGTGGCAGCGCCAGAAAAAAATCTGAGAATAAGTGGATCCATGCAGCTCAATCCTGTATTGTTCAAGACTCGACTGTATATTTTTCATACGGGCTCAAACACATACACACATATGGCCATGAGTCAAAGATTCATAGAATGAATTAGACAACAAGGATATTTATTACTGAATTGAAATGGCTGACTGCAAAACTGCCCTCAACTTATCTCTAGGCCTTAGAAACAGAAGTGACCCTTTGCTGCTATGACTCAATAGCCTGGCCTAGATTGGGGTTGGGTTGGCAGAGGTATGTAGTCTTCGCTTCAGTGAAGTATTCCTGCTCAAGCAGTCATCACTAGTAGTCACGTTGCTCAGACAGGGCCTCCCAGCTCTCCCCACCACTGTTTGCTGGATTTATACCGCCGGTAGATCAGAGCTGGCAAAAGGGATAAATCAGGATGAAACATTTGGGCACTTTGCAGTTTAGAGGAACTTTGGGGGTGCTGCTTTAGTAAAAAACGGAAGACTTGCATTTATTAAAGGTTAGTAAGAAGTGAAATCATGTTTGCAAAAGTACATTATAAATTAGAAAATACAATAAAGGCAGAAACTATTTATTTATTGGTTGTTCTGCACTTTACCTAAGTGGTTTTTGATCATTTCACAATGTGTAGGGTTGAGTTTTACCTTCATTTTATGGATGTGGAAATAGGACTTGGATGTTAGGTAACTTGCCTAAATCTCTCAGGTGTTCCTGAGGTTCCGGGTCTGTCTGACCTCAGGCCTATACTCTTTGTATGAGTTCATGCTGACTCCCAGATGACATGCTAGGCACGTAAATTAGATATTACACCAATTTCCACTATAGTTAGCATTCTATCTAAATATAAAGTGAGACCACAGTCTTAGGTGAATGTGGCTATTGAGAGCAGCAATAATCTAGAATGGCTACTCTGATCTATGTCGATAAGGAAATGGAGACCCAGGCACTGGTGTGGCTGCTAAGGACGGGCTAAAGCTGGACCTTCAATCAAAGCCTTAGATGGGAGATCTCAAGTTTTAACACCATGTTTTGGCAAAACATTCGATGCTCCACCAGCCTTACCTAAAGCCACCAGAAAGGCTTTGGGAACTGTCAAAAGAACAACAGAAAAATCAGTAAAGACCAGTGGACCCAGCACACAAAAACAGCCAAGGTTTTCTGCCCAAAAGATGACCAAGAAGACTGTTAAAGCAAAAAGCTCTGTTCCTGACTCAGATGATGCCTGTTTTGAAATAGAAAAATTCTTTCTCTTCAATCCTCTAGACGTTGAGAGTTCTGACCTGCCTGAAGAGCACCAGATTGCACACCTCCCCTAGAGTGGAGTGCCTCTCATGATTCTTGGTGAGGAGAGAGAGCTTGAAAGCCTGGTTCAGCTGGGCCCCCATCACTGGTGAACATGCCCTTTCCACCATGGGAATCCCATCTGTTGCGGTCTCCTTCAAGCATTCTGTTGACCCTGGATGTTGAATTGCCAGCTGTTTGCTATAACATATTTAAATGTCTTAGTGCTTTAGAGTTTGTGTGTAATTGTATTAACAAAGAAATCTTTGTTTAACAACAAAATAAATGAATAAATATAAAGTGGGTCATATTCCCCTTTATATGCATCTGTCTTAGCTGTTCCTTACTTCTATATTCCTTCCATGCTAAGGCCCCTACTCTTTGGGGATATGTCGACATGATTTACTTCTGTAGAGAAACAGGAGACCGGATATAGCAAAGGATAAAGGAGAAGAGTCCAGGGTCAGGTCAAGAACTTCCTACATCTTTTCTTCCCAGCCAAGTGTGAGCCAGATGAAAGCCTTAAGGAGGGCCTAGCAGCAAAGGGAGATAAGTAAAGAAGAATGGGAATTTTGTAGAATGCTAAAAAAAAAAATAGGGAACATATTTGCAGCTAGGACTAACATGGATTATCTTGATTATCTTCAAATATCTATATGGCTAAGTAATATTCATGAAATCCCATGTCTTATGCTTCTCATGTCTTATAGCTTAAGCACTTTTATGTCCATGCCTTGAATTCTGTACAAAGCTTTGATAGAGTCACAGATGACTGGTGTCGATCCAGATCTCCTGAGAGGCTTCAGGGGTTCCTCTGTGGTCCCTGAATTCTAGGACGTAGTGAGCTTCCTAGACCAGCAGCTGCTATTCATTACACGTATTAGTGGTTTTGCTCTTGCTATGGAAAGTGGGTGGCAGTTATGTCTCTGAATATGTTATTCCACAAAAAGCCAACTGGATATGGCTATTTAAGAATCATCAAAGCCCATGACAGGCCAAAGTTTCTAAATCCCTCCTCAATCAAAGGATGCCCTCAGAACTGGCCAACAGAAAAGATGCAAGGTCTCACTCCTAGGCTGTCCTACTGTTCCTTAGAGAAGAGTTACGATTTTGTGATCTGTTGCACTCCATTTTGTTTTTTGCTTTGATGCTATTTTAAAACTGGAGGTTGGTTAAGTTTAAAATTTCAAGACAAAGCATAAAATATTTGAGAAGTTACTTGTACATTTCCTGTCTCCCCCACTAAACTGTGAGCCCCATGAGGGCAGGGCCCATCTCGTGTTGTTCATTATGGTGTCCAAGTACTTCCCCTTTCCCTGGAGCTGTTGCTATGGTGGGCTGCTCTAAGTAATCTTTGTCTTGGGTCAGTAGCCACTCAGGTCAAGGATGAACTTCCATTAGGTGTGGGCATAAGTTCCTACTCAGCCATTGTCCTCTTCACTGGAAGAACTAAATTTTGTCTGTTAAAGAGGACATCATATTGTGCAAATGGTAGGACCTCATTCCCTGTAAGATTTATATCTCTGCATTTTGAACTCAATCACCATAGGCGTATTCCATGGCAAGACAGGAAGTATTACTGGAGTCAGACTCCCTGGGTCCTAACCCCGCTTCCTCTATTTAATGGCTACGCAACCTTGGGCAAGTTGGTAACGTCACAAATTTTACCTCGTAAAGCTGTTGATAGAGACACTAAACATGTTTAAATTTCTAAATGTTTAGTGCTACATGTATGTACAGTTATTAGCATAGCAAGCATCTAAATGATATCAGAGTAGAAACTCAATAAATATTTGTTGGATGAATAACCTCTCAAACTTCAGTTTCATCAGCTGTAAATACACAGGTTTAGCTATATGATATTTTTTCAGTTCTAATATCCTGTGGACTTACATTAGTAATTATAATTTTTTATCCTTAGTAATTTTTTCAGGATTACTATGAGGATAAGTAGTCAAATTCTAAACTGAAATAACTCAAGTGAATTGAATAAAAACTTGGATTAAAAAAAGAAAGTGTTTTAGAAATCACCATTTAAGTCCAATGATGAGATGATAGTCTTTGATTTAAAGTGTGTCTGTGGTCAGCCCAGGGAAATAGTGTACAGCTTCTCTAGAGCACTTTAAAATCTTCGTTACAGTCAGTTTAAGTATTTCCTTGGCAATAAACATCAACTCTTTTTCTGACACCTCTTTGCATATGATGGCCTTGGCATGAGACATGAAACCATTAAGAAAATACAAGCCAGATCCTCTGCTATGGTCCAATAATAAAATAAATAATAAAAAATTATTTAGTTGAAGCTGTGCATATTTATTAGCTTATAATCAATTTTAAACTGACTCACTAAAAGTACTGTATGAGGCCATTCTTGTATTGCTATAAAGAAAAACCGAAGACTGGATAATTTATAAAGAAAAGAGGTTTAATTGGCTCACAGTTCTGCAGACTGTACAGGAAGCGTAACACTGGCATCTGCTGGGCTTCTGGGGAGACCTCACAAAGCTTCTAGTCATGGTGGAAGGCCAAGGAGGAGCAGGCACCTTACATGGCAGAACAGGAGCAAGAAAGAGTTGAGATGGGGGCGGGAACAGGTGCATTGGCCCATGCCTGTAATCCCAGCACTTTGAGATGTCCAGGCTGGTGGATCCCTTGAGGCCAGGAGTTCAAGACCAGACTGGCCAACATGGTAAAACCCTGTCTCTACTAAAAATACAAAAATTAGCCAGGCATGGTGGCGCACGCCTGTAATCCCAGCTACTCATTGAGTAGCCTGTGCCAGAAGAATCACTTGAGCCTGAGAGATAGAGGTTGCAGTGAGCAAGATCATGCCACTGCACTCCAGCCTGGGTGACAGAATGAGATTCCGTGTCAAAAAAATACCCATCTATGGCCGGGTGCGGTGGCTCACACCTGTAATCCCAGCACTTTGGGAGGCCGAGGCGGGTGGATCATGAGGTCAAGAGATCGAGACCATCCTGGTTAACAAGGTGAAACCCCGTCTCTACTAAAAATACAAAAATTAGCTGGGCATGGTGGTGCGCACCTGTAGTCCCAGCTACTCGGGAGGCAGAGGCAGGAGAATTGCTTGAACCCAGGAGGCAGAGGTTGCGGTGAGCCGAGATCGTGCCATTGCACTCCAGCCTGGGTAACAACAGCAAAACTCTGTCTCAAAAAAAAAAAAAAAAAAAAATACCCATCTATGTACCTGTGTACAAAATATCTGAAACAGCTGCTAAGACTGTGTAGTAACCACATGGATATCTGTCATATTATGCTATAAATGTTTTGGAAAGAATAATTTTTAAGATCCTAAGAAACAAGAATACTGTAATGAAAAATCCAATATCAGACTCTACTCTCTTGCAGATTAGAAATATTATCTCTGCTCTTTCCCCACTAATGGCTCATTTGTACTTGCCTTTTGGGTACCAGCTTAAAGCACCAGGCTGACTATAGGGTCCCTGATGTTGGTTAGGGCCTCCTCTGTCAGCTTTCCTAACACCCTCTCTATTCCTTCTCACTGCACTTATCACCCAGTTGTGCTGTTTCCTGTTTACTTGCTGTATGGGCCTGCTGTACCATTACACGTCCCTCTAGGGGCAGGTGGCTTGCTTACTGTAGCATTCCTAAGGACTGGTAGGGGATATTGAGTAGGTGAATGAATTACTGCAATGGCTACTGCAATGGCTTAAGTTCAGTGCTCTGCACACACATGGGCCAGGGCTGGATATGTGAAATTACCACTTGATGAAATTAGTTAAAGGAGCATTTATTGGCACAGAGAGGCTGTGTGCCCCTTTCTTGGAGTCCCCTAGGCTTCAGTGCATGCCCCACAGTCTCGCAGTTGGAAAGGAGGGTTGGGGTGCTGTGCTTCATGTAAGGTGATTCTAAACCTTGTGCTAGACCCACTGACACATCCAACTGGAGACTCAGGTTCCCATTAGGCTGTGGCCAGAGCCAAGTCCCCTGCCACTGAATTTCCTAGTTACTGAGAGGTGAGGGTTTTCCTGTCCACTAGCCAGACCAGTTTTTCACAGAGAGGACCAATGTGCCTGACTTCCCCAGACGTGGCTGAGAAGCTCCTGCTTTGTCCTGGGTTCAGGTGGAGTTTGGCGTGCTGGCTCCAGCATAGGCTGAATGGGGACAAGGGGCAGGGGGCTGCTTACTGCAGGTCTCACCTTCTTATTGGCCCCTGGCCTGGCTGTACTGTTGAGAAGGTCCCTGCTGCCTCAGACTCCACAAGAATTTGCTTCCTTTCTCTCTTCCTTCCTACCTCATTCATTCATTTGTTCTTTAGGATCTGCTGCCATTTCAAGTCCATTTGTATCTCATCTAGCTAGCATCAGCTCCCAGCCTCATGAAAAAGGCCAAGCTCAGCTGGGTGTGGTGGCTCAGGCCTGTAATCCCAGCACTTTGGGAGGCCGAGGTGGGCCTGAGTTTGGGAGTTTGTGACCAGCCTGACCAACATGGAGAAATCCTGTCTTTGCTAAACATACAAAATTAGCCAGGTGTGGTGGTGCGTGCCTGTAATCCCAGCTACTTGGGAGGCTGAGGCAGGAGAATTGGTTGAACCTGGGAGGCGGAGTTTGTGGTGAGCTGAGATCACGCCATTGCACTCCAGACTGGGCAAGAAGAGCAAAACTCCGTCTCAAAAAAAAAAAAAGGCAGAAAAGAAAAAGGCCAAGCTGTTTCCCTGGCAGAGCCTGCTGTTGGCAGGAAACTGCCAGAGCCTGGTGGCTGTCTAGAGAACCTTTCTTGGCCATGCCAGCTCCCTGAAATCTTAGAGCATGAAGCCCTGTATTTGTAGCAGTTAGCACCTGCTTGGAGGAATGCTGACAGGTGGCCTATGCAGCCACTGCTCCACTGTGTCTAGGTAAAGTGTTGGGTGAATTATTTTACTTTCCTGAACCTCAGTTTTCTCATCTGCAAAACAGCATAAATAATACCTTGCAGTAGGGTTTTAAGATAATTAGGGGCTGTGAAGTAAAGTGGTTAAGTTGCAGAGTGCCTGGGCCTGATCCTGGTTTTCTCCTTTTCCAGGTGACTGCTTCGTTTTCCCCATCCAAAAATAGGTATTCATACTCTCAACCTCATGCACTGTAAATGCTTACAACAATACCCGGTCCATGATGGATGCTGTCTGAAGGTTTTCTGGTTTTAGAAGTGTCTGGCAGGTAGGAAGCACTCGATACACATTATGTTGTGTTACCATTGTTGTTTATCTTACCATCTAGGGTTGTGAGATAGATAACATATGAAAACATCTGGTATGCCGTAAGTTCTCAGCAGATACTGTTTTCTTCCTTCCTGACCCTTGATCTTGGAGCAGGGGTACCTTGGAGTGGAAGCAGGTGATCCCTGCCCTGAGTTGCCATTCTTTTCAATGCTCTTCTTGTCCCTGAGAACAAAACTAACTCTAGATGTCTGGAAAAGTTCCAGGATCATCAGGGCCCTTGTGATACTATGACCTCAAGATTCGTGAGCAGATATGTTTAGTTCTACTTTGATCCTGAGCTAAGGCTGCCAGCCGCAGGCCTGTCATGGACATTCATTCATTCATTTGAGATGGAGTCTCACTCTGTTGCCCAGGCTGGAGTACAGTGGCACGATCTTGGCTCACTGCAACCTCTTCCTCCTGGGTTCAAGCAATTCTCCTGCCTCAGCCTCCTGAGTAGCTGGTATTACAGGTGCCACCATGCCCAGCTATTTTTTGTATTTTTAGTAGAGATGTGGTTTTACTGTGTTGGCCACGCTAATCTCGAACTCCTGACCTCAAGTGATTTGCCCATTTCAGCCTCTGAAAGTGCCGATTACAGGTGTGGCCCCAGGCCATGGGCATTTAAGTTCGTCTCTATTTCACAACATGACCGGGGGAAGCTGAAGGGACCTTGGAGATCATGGGCCTAATACCCACAATTTACAAGGTGGAAACAGGTTCATAGCTATGTGACATGAACTGTGTGAGGTCACATGGCTGGTTGCCAGCAGGTAGAAGCTAGTAGCAAGCACTGGGACAGCCTGGGCTGCCTTACATAGAGGAAGACTCCACTAAGTCCATGTGCAAATTGATGGAACCACTTTAGAGGATGCCTGACCCTCATCTGAAAGCTGAATTTATCTTTACCTCACCCATAGCAAAATTCCTGTCATGTTTGAAAAAATCCAGGTGAGAAGAGCTATGACTCAGACCTCACTACTTAGAAGCATTTAAGAAATTGAATGGGACCCCAATACAAATAGAAAAGAGAAGCCATTTTCCTCTTATATATTCTCAGCCCTACATCTCCTGCGAAGGCCAATGGACATTTTCAATTATGTACTTTCTCTGGCTGTGCATAGTAACTAAGATGCAGATGGTGGTTTATAATCTATGCATTCCTTTGCTAAGTATTGAACCTAGAGATACCTTTTATCTTCAAGGGTTTCAGAAGGGCATTTGCCTAGGAACACAGCACTTGGGTCTTATGTTCTGGAAACTGAGCTTGCTCGGGGCACCTGAAAATTACAGTGAGTTTTACTAGGCACACTCTTCTTGTTGAGATGCAAATACATGTGGCTTGGTGGAGTTTTTGTAGGAATCTTTTTTTTTTTGAGACGGAGTTTCGCTCTTGTTACCCAGGCTGGAGTGCAATGGCACGATCTCGGCTCACTGCAACTTCCGCCTCCTGGGTTCAGGCAATTCTCCTGCCTCAGCCTCCTGAGTAGCTGGGATTACAGGCACGCGCCACCATGCCCAGCTAATTTTTGTATTTTTAGTAGAGACGGGGTTTCATCATGTTGACCAGGATGGTCTCGATCTCTTGACCTCGTGATCCAACTGCCTCGACCTCCCAAAGTGCTGGGATTATAGGTGTGAGCCACAGCACCCGGCCCAAGTTTTTGTAGGAATCTTAAGGTACAACAAGGAAACAAATTCAGATTGTTTTGTGCATTTGTGCAGAGGTTTGTGGCACCATTTTCTTCCAGGTGGTTGCTGTGCAATTCTGATATTCAGGGCTGAAGCACATAAATTTAGGCTTTGAAAAAGAGTGAGGACATTCACAAAGAGCTTCAATTGTGTTTAAAACAGCAATTTTAAAGGAATTTGATTAAGATGAAAAAGAGGGCCAGGCACGGTGGCTCACGCCTGTAATCTCAGCACTTTGGGAGGCTGAAGCTGGTGGATCACCTGAGATCAGGGGTTCGAGACCAGTCTGGGCAACATGGTGAAACCCCGTCTCTACTAAAAATGCAAAAATTAGCTGGGCACGGTGGCACATGCCTGTAATCCCAGCTACTTGGGAGGCCGAGGCAGGAGAATCACTTGAGCCTGGGAAGCAGAAGTTGCAGTGAGCCGAGATTACACCATTGCACTCCAGCCTGGGCGAAAAGAGTGAGACTCCATCTTAAAGATTAAAAAAAAAAAGATAAAGAGAAATTATTTTAGAAGTGGGAAATTATTCTAAACAAAGTTAAACTAAACCACCTTATAAAAAATAGAAAATTTTGATTCATTGTGGAAGAAGTGGGAAGAGAAGTTTGGGTCAGATTTTTAATCACTAATAGTTTAATCAGGAAATAGGAGTTGATTCTTTTCAGTCTTTTTTTGACAGAGAAATATAACTTCCAGTTTAGAAAAAAAAAGTTATTTCTTGATGAAATTAGTGCTTCTAATGTTTCCACTATAAATTATAACAAAATGTCTGAGTTTAAAGCTAAGAGTCTATGTTGAGTTACAGGACAGGGTGTGGATGTGAAAATCTTTTGACTCTAAATTTTTACGGTATTTTCTTTTATGAGCTCATGACTGCTGGGTTTTTCCATGAATTTGAAACAAGTGTAGAGTGTTTTGAAAGGAAGATTATTTGCTTAAACTTTATAGACTGAACTAAAAATAGAAAAACACTGATTCTATTTTTGGAATGGCTTACAAGCTACAAAGTAAACATGATTGCTGTACATATGGAGCCACATACTGACAGCAGATATTTAAATAGCAAAACATAATCATTTCGTTGGTTTTGAAGTATCACCACATTTTAAGGAATTGATTGTGAATGAAGAGATAGACCTGTGTCATTAGTAAATTTCTGTTTCAGCAAGAGTGTTACATACAAGGAGAAAAAAAGGCATCCCCAAGCTGGTGTGAACTTTATTCTCAAGGGGCTTTGCTACCATCTTGTCTCCTCTGGAGTTGCAAGTTCATGGGTTTCCCTTTACCCTGCAATCTTCTTAGTATTTCTGGTGGGACTGCAGCCAGTGTTTAGTTTTGCAAGGCTTTTGGATAAATTTAATAAATGTGGCTGGGGCCTACTAAAAATGTTCTTATTCAGTCCTTTTGCTGTTATTTTGGCTCACGAGAAATTACAACGTAATGCACAAAATGAAAACACAAAATTAGAGACCTTAATTTAAATGTTGACATGGATACATCAAGGTAGAATGTTCCTGAGGTACCCACCTGAATTTTTTTTTTTTTTTTGAGACAGAGTCTCACTCTGTCACCAGGTGCCAAGCTGTAGTGCAGTGGCACAATCTCGGCTCACTGTAACCTCTGCCTCCCAGGTTCAAGCAATTCTCCTGCCTCAGCCTCCCGAGTAGCTGGGACTACAGGTGCACCATGCCCAGCTAATTTTTGTATTTTTTTTTTTTTTTTTTGAGACGGAGTTTTACTCTTTTTACCCAGGCTGGAGTGCAATGGCGCGATCTCGGCTCACCGCAACCTCCGCCTCCTGGGTTCAGGCAATTCTCCTGCCTCAGCCTCCTGAGTAGCTGGGATTACAGGCATGTGCCACCATGCCCAGCTAATTTTTTGTATTTTTAGGAGAGACGGGGTTTCACCATGTTGACCAGAATGGTCTCGATCTCTTGACCTCGTGATCCAACCGCCTCGGCCTCCCAAAGTGCTGGGATTACAGGCTTGAGCCACCGCGCCTGGCCCCCACCTGAATTTATAAGGTACTCCTCAAAAAGTCCTCACCTAATTTGTCCTTCCACTTCTCCTACACTTTCTTGCCTTCATGAACCAATTTACTGAGCATGGTTTGCTCTGAAAATGGTCTTCAAATACTCTGTCTTGCCACCTGAAGCTTCATCCTGAATCTGGCCTGATTTAAAATGTGAGCGTGGGTGTGTCCTTGAGAGAAAGTGAGCGATGTAGACAGGTAAGGCGGGATTGGAGGGGTGGGGCTGGGAGAGCGAGTATGAGGTCCATGCATGAGTGAGCAGGACCCATGCCTGGCAATGAATTTCTATGCTATTGAAAGTGAGGCAGGCTAGTGATGCTTGTGTGTACCATGCCTCTGCCCAGCTAGTATGATAGGAATTTACTGGAGACACTTGGACGATTTGTGGCTTGGCTTATGGAGTTAAAGTAACAAATGGAGCACAGTCTTGCTGTTAGACGCAGCAGCTCATAAAAAGGGAGAGGAAAATATCGAGACACATCCTGGAGGCCCACCGTGCTGGAGTGAATTTTGTCTCACACACATTCACTTCTCTGATCTTAACTGTTTGTCCTGTCCTATTTTGTGTGTCTATAAACCCAGCTCTGAGTCTGAGGCCTCCAGCCCATGAACTCTGTTTTACTTCTACATTTAAAACATATCATACCCACCATTACTTCAATAGCAATCATTATTGCTACTACTAATACTATTACTACCATCACTATATCTACAACCAAAATTTACTGTGCATCTACTATATGCCAGTGTTTTAGCTGTATTATCTCATTTGATCCTAAAACTAGGCTTTTTTTTGAGACAGAGTTTCCCAGCCTGGAGTGCAATGGTGCCGTCTCAGCTCACTGCAACCTTCGCCTCCCAGGTTCAAGCGATTCTCCTGCCTCAGACTCCCAAGTAGCTGGGATTACAGGCATCCACCACTACCATGCCTGGCTGTTTTTGTATTTTTAGTAGAGATGGGGTTTCACCACATTGGCCAGGCTGGCCTTGAACTCCTGACCTCAGGTGATCCACTGCCTTGGACTCCCAAAGAGCTGGAATTACAAGTGTGAGGCACCACGCCTGACCCAAACTAGCCCTTTTACGTGT